TCCGAGGACAACACAGACGGATTACGTCCAGGTTGTCCCAGGGACTGGGTAATGTTGTATTTCAGTATTTGTTTCAACAAGTGTTATATTAAAATGGTACGCTTTAACTAATTAGAATTACTAGTTTAATATGTACTTCACGTTCTTCCGAAATTTTTGTCTGTGTGTTGAACTGCTACATAGTTTGTGAGTTGAACTGCTACATAGTTTGTGTGTTGAACTGCTACATAGTTTGTGCGTTGAACTGCTATGTTTGTGCGTTGAACTGCTACATAGTTTGTGTGTTGAACTGCTACATAGTTTGTGTGTTGAACTGCTACATAGTTTGTGTATTGAACTGTTGTATATTTTGTTTGTGTATTGAACTGTTGTATATAATGTCTGTGTGTTGGACTGTTGTATATTTTGTTTGTGTTGAACTGTTGTATATTTTGTTTGTGTATTGAACTGTTGTATATAATGTCTGTGTGTTGGACTGTTGTATATTTTGTTTGTGTTGAACTGTTGTATATTTTGTCTGTGTGTTGGACTGTTGTATATTTTGTCTGTGTATTGAACTGTTGTATATAATGTCTGTGTGTTGGACTGTTGTATATTTTGTCTGTGTATTGAACTGTTGTATATAATGTCTGTGTGTTGGACTGTTGTATATTTTGTTTGTGTATTGAACTGTTGTATATGTTGTCTGTGTGTTGAACTGTTGTATATGTTGTCTGTGTGTTGAACTGTTGTATATGTTGTCTGTGTGTTGAACTGTTGTATATGTTGTCTGTGTGTTGGACTGTTGTATATTTTGTTTGTGTGTTGAACTGTTGTATATTTTGTCTGTGTTGAACTGTTGTATATTTTGTTTGTGTTGAACTGTTGTATATTTTGTCTGTGTGTTGGACTGTTGTATATTTTGTCTGTGTATTGAACTGTTGTATATTTTGTCTGTGTATTGAACTGTTGTATGTTTTGTCTGTGTTGAACTGTTGTATATTTTGTCTGTGTTGAACTGTTGTGTATTTTGTCTGTGTTGAACTGTTGTATATTTTGTTTGTGTGTTGAACTGTTGTATATTTTGTCTGTGTTGAACTGTTGTATATATTGTCTGTGTGTTGAACTGTTGTATATTTTGTTTGTGTATTGAACTGTTGTATATGTTGTCTGTGTGTTGAACTGTTGTATAGTTTGTCTGTGTGTTGAACTGTTGTATATGTTGTCTGTGTGTTGAACTGTTGTATAGTTTGTCTGTGTGTTGAACTGTTGTATATTTTGTCTGTGTGTTGAACTGTTGTATATTTTGTTTGTGTGTTGGACTGTTGTATATTTTGTCTGTGTATTGAACTGTTGTATATTTTGTCTGTGTATTGAACTATTGTATGTTTTGTCTGTGTTGAACTGTTGTGTATTTTGTCTGTGTTGAACTGTTGTATATTTTGTTTGTGTGTTGAACTGTTGTATATTTTGTCTGTGTTGAACTGTTGTATATATTGTCTGTGTGTTGAACTGTTGTATATTTTGTCTGTGTTGAACTGTTGTATATTTTGTCTGTGTGTTGGACTGTTGTATATTTTGTTTGTGTGTTGAACTGTTGTATATTTTGTCTGTGTTGAACTGTTGTATATTTTGTCTGTGTGTTGAACTGTTGTATATTTTGTCTGTGTTGAACTGTTGTATATTTTGTCTGTGTTGAACTGTTGTATATGTTGTCTGTGTATTGAACTGTTGTATATTTTGTCTGTGTATTGAACTGTTGTATATTTTGTCTGTGTTGAACTGTTGTATATTTTGTCTGTGTGTTGAACTGTTGTATATTTTGTCTGTGTTGAACTGTTGTATATTTTGTCTGTGTGTTGAACTGTTGTATATTTTGTCTGTGTTGAACTGTTGTATATTTTGTCTGCGTTGAACTGTTGTATATTTTGTCTGTGTGTTGAACTGTTGTATATTTTGTCTGTGTGTTGAACTGTTGTATATTTTGTCTGTGTTGTGTGTATATTTTGTCTGTGTGTTGAACTGTTGTATATTTTGTCTGTGTTGAACTGTTGTATATTTTGTCTGTGTTGAACTGTTGTATATTTTGTGTGCATTGAACTGTTGTATATTTTGTCTGTGAGTTGAACTGTTGTATATTTTGTCTGTGTTGAACTGTTGTATATTTTGTTTGTGTGTTAAACTGTGTCATGCTATGGTATGGTTTACTATCTTTATGCTGGTGTGTACTTATTTTATGTCGATGGTGTTTTGCCTGTTGCTTGTAGCTTGCCTCGTTTTAACCTCGATGTCATTCGCCAATAGGAACGATTATTTCACATGTATTTACACTGTTGACAGATGTCACTCTCCAGTTGGACATCACAGAGGACGTGGTGACGTTTCATTGGGACATGGATGCGAGTCTAAGGGAACAGCAATGCACGAGTTTCTGCACGTGCTTGGATTTTTTCACGAACATGAACGCTATGATCGAGATAATTACGTAACGGTTCATTTGGAGAATGTGGTTCAAAGTAAGTATTTTATGTCTATTTAAGACAACAAGAAAATATCAGTATATCAACAGAGTCTGAAGTCTAAGTTTAGAGTCGATAACAAACACGTAGGACGAGTAACGAACATATTTAACTTCATTTCACCAAGGGAAGTAATTTATTTCCTAATATCATGACATGCATAGAAATTTCCAAAAATCTTAAAAATATCATATTAATAACTTTGATGAACAGAATCCGAGATATTGAGAACAAGTCATTTTTATTAACGATTCAGATATGGCAAGTTAACTATATATATATATATATATATATATATGAAAGTGCTGGTTCAGAAATCATCAACTTTATAATAGTACTTGGTGGTGTTAATATTCATTGGTGGTATATAAACACTGGTCACAAGTGAAGAGATATTTTACAAGACATACATATTTATAGAAAGTAAATAAACTGTACTTTTTTGATAATTGGATTATTTGTTGCTGTTCTCGTTGACAACGATACTCAAATGGCGCCAACAACTGCTGTCGGTTTCGACTAATTATATCCGCCACTGTTCTAACGATGTGCAAATGTAATTTTTTGGTTTGTTTTTTTTTAAACTCACGATTACCGAGTCTTCATACCTGTAATGTAGTGTATCCTGCATTAGGTTAACTATGTATTTCACTTCACAAACAATACTGTAAAATTGTATGTTTTCGTGGGAATTAAGTTTCGCGGATTTCCATAAAAATATCCTTTCGATGACCTCGAATTTTGTATGGTTCTAGCGAAATGTGCTAGCTGTATACCGTGAACATTAACACCACATGGACCCCTTGGACATTAGGTTGACAAGTGTTTACTATGACAACAGTGGAAGGGCGTTTGACATAGGAAAATTTCGTGAAGAAATGGAATGTTTTTATTTAAATGTCTCGGTTTTGCCTATCTATTGTTTTGGCTTGATTTGAATGTTTGTTTTTTTCATTTTGATGTAATCCTTATTTGATAACAATAAGGCTTTTTCCTAATAAGATATTGATCTGCCTTGCTTGAGAGTTGATTGGCAGTGCAAAATAACCAGTTTTTTGGAAAACATCTGATGTCCGCTTGTGTCGTAGTGCTAATCACTAACTGTAGCGCAATACAGTTTATCATTACAAGGCTTTCAATATTTACTTCTATATCTCCTAAAAGACTGTTGGGTTAAATAAATTCTAAGTTTTGAAAAAGCTCGACCTAATAGATGGAAAATCTTTTCTGAAAATGATTCATTGTAATCTCCACGTGGTTCACAGTCCTGTGAATTACATTACCTTCAAAAACATTGTAAATGTATGTTTTCTTGGTGAAAACTTTCAAGCTCGTTTAGCTTTCATATTTTTACTCATCTTCCATTCTAATTTTGCTTTGTAGAATTATTATCTGATGATTGACGGTCTTCAATTATTTTATCAAATTAGCTGCTAAAATACGTATGTAGTTTAAATTTCAGAAGTTTGCAGGTTTTGTATTTATGTTTTATATCACAGGTAACCAAAAAGATTATAGTAAAGAGACTACCAGGCAGATGAATACACTGGGTGTTTCATATGATTACGGATCAATAATGCATTATGGGGCGTATGCGTTTGCTGCTGATAAATCCAAACCAACCATGACGCCCAAATCTCACTCGGCGGTCATTGGTCAACGACTGGCTCTTAGCAGGAAGGACGTCCAGAAAATACAACTCCTTTACAATTGTGGTGTTGGCAAGTGATGGATCTATCGTTTAGTTTACAATATCCTACTATCATGATAAAAACATTACTATAATGTTGCGACCGATTTGTAAAAGGTTCTGAAACACTTTGCAGGACATAAAATGACAGTATTGAGAGGAATGGAAACACTTAACTGGAGGCCAAAACTATTTTACAACCAATCGGATAAGCCGTTTTATTCCGACTTATAAAAGAGTTGTTTTAAAAGTGTTGCTCCTATAATTGTTTAAAAGTGTTACCTTAGTAATCGATACAAATGAATATTGAAACGTCACTTTGTAAAAGAAATGTGAATTTCGCTCTCTAGGTTACCAGGTATTATTTTCAGCGATCCTTAAAAAACTTCAATGTGATTTTTTTTCCCAGATTTAACCCACGTAGCAGAGCCGGTAGAACCACGTAAGCAAAAAGATTGTTTTTTTTTTTTTTTCTCGTAGAAATCTTGTCGTTTATATGTATATACATAGAACGAGTTTAAGTTCAAAATGGTGCTCAATGCTTAAAATACCGACTCACAATTTCTTCTTCTAATCTGTTCCTGTCCTTGTGGAAATAGATCTGGTGGGATATGGGAATTTAATAAATGATTGCATTCAATTTCCAATTATGAAATATGATTTTAATATTTTGTCCTAGTTTTACTGAATTTGAGTTTGGATTATGATTATGTTGACATGCTGGTATTTTCTTGTTTTTTTTTTATCACAGATAAAATTATAGAATGTGACTTTGAAACATCCTGTTCTCACCTTCATCAAGACAACACAGATAACAACACAGATCCACACATAACTTTAACTGGGTACAATTATAGTTACACAGGTGTTCACAATACGCTTTGATTTCATGCATTTCTTAATTTTCGATTTGCACGATATCCATTTAGAATTATTTCAAATTGTCTGCTACATAACCCGTTGATGAAGTAACAAGACCAATACTTTTTTCATTTTTTCCTACTGCGCCAAGGTTATATTAACGTGAAATAAATCAGTTAAAAATTTATATTTACTCGTATTAGATTTTTATGGTTGTAATGCATGTTCATTAGTACCACGGGCTACTTGTAACCGTATCAATCAGCTTGTAGATGCCGTATTCTTGATTCTGGTATTGCATGTGAAAATTCCTTCTTATTTATTTTTTATCATTTTTTTTTTTTTTTTTTCGTTTTCTTTTGATTTTTGATTGATTGATTTATCTATTTAGACGGCATATTGTATTTTAATTCAAGTTATATTCTTAAGAAAACACTGTAAACTAAGACGTAATGAACTGAGTTGCATCCAACATCTATCTATAATGTACTGTTGTCCTACCGTTAAACTCTTTAGTATATCATTGATTGATGGATAAACATGGATTTTTTTCAAATAAAGCCTGTACTTAAATGCCTGATATCCCCACGTGGCAGCTCAGATTAATTCAAATTGAATTGTCATTAGAAGTGTATAGCAAAACCGACTACATTTACATGTGGCACACATCTCCAAACTCCTCTCTAAATACCCCGAAACATCCTGTACATTTACACTGGCTGTTTCGGGGTAAATGATGGAAAATGTGTTGAAGCAGCATGATACTCCAGCTTCAAATCGCACAAAGAATTAGACTATTTCTCAATGAGATCACTATGACGATCGTAAAACTTTCACCTACTTTTTATCAACATGCATCTTTTGAAACCCTGTGTACGAGTTTGTCCGTCAGTTGACGACTTCTTGCAGGAAAACAGTGATTATGAGAACATGCTCTTGAATATCGAAACAACTTCAACATACTAACATAATAGGTTGGGGATGCAGGTATGTTGCTATCCACAAATAGAAAATTCACGATAGGGAATTGGAAATCATCACGCACGCTTATCATACAGCTTGGAGGAAAACTGTCCATCTTAGTTTCGTTGTGGAAAAGATCGAGGTTATCTGCTGATGTAGAAGAGTCTGTCGTGTCTGATTTCCAATCCTAGTTGCTATACAAGATGGACGAGGTCAATAATTTGCTTGTTATTTAAAGACATGACGTCATCAATATATCTGAAAGTGAAATTAAACGACTTGGCAAGGTGTTACGTGACCTGTTTTGATAATCTCTTCAATAAATTAAGCCTCGTATTAAAAACAGAAATAAGTCAGTTAGCAGAGATCTAATAGGTATTCCAATAGTTTGTTCAGCCAAATATAGAAACTCGTCTCTCTAAATGGTCTAACCGTAGAGACGAGGTTGTCCTTTCTCGGCTCCGAACTGGACAAACGTATCGTACTCGCGTTGTAACTCACCCGCTGTTTTGTTGTGTGTGTGATTCCATGCCAACAGTGAAACATCTTAATTCACTGCTCAGATTTTTCACAAATTACGCTAGAGAGACCGGCCTCTTTGACAAAATATGAACCATTTATGTGATATATAATTAGATGTATTCTTTGTTATTGTTTGCATAATCCAGCAATATACATTGCTATTTAAATTTTACATCAACTATCATTTAATTTTACCCTTTAAAACGTTTTAATCAAATTATTTTTCACTTCAGATCACCGTTTATCTTAGTAGTTTGACCAAGAGTGACTGTCGACTGACCGTAACTCATCAATCAGTCATGATGATATTGATACATGTTTGTTTTACAGGTAAATATTATTTAGCTCAGGCTAGACACCACCATAATAAAGTGGCCCGCCTCATCACAGATACACTTCCTTCAGGTGCAAATTGTATCGCTTTCTCCTATTTCATCTACGGCTCTGGTGTCAAGGAATTTAACATGAAAGCGGAAGGTACCGGGATTGACTACACATTTAAACGATTCGTCGGCAGCCAGACCAACCAATGGACCACACAATTTATAACGCTTACAGTCCCTAGGAGTTATAAGGTAAGTCATCAACTGAGAAATGGCTCGTGGCTCTAAAACGACTTCATGAAAGTAGGGGGAAGAAAAGAGAAAATATTCCCTTGACTCAATGATATGAACGCTTACCTTAACTGAAAGCATAAACAAAATATTACAGTGTATATGACATAAAATATTCAATTTAGCGCGTATTAAATAACATTTATTGATTTTTTTTATTATTATTAAACTCTCCTGTCCCCTTCCTCCTGCCTCCTCTGATCCACTACTACAAATAGGCAGATACTTTGCACTGTAGGAACACAAAGTGTTGCTATGACACAGAGCTAAGAACATCGCACATATCCGCAATATCATCTATAGTTGATATAAATCATCATCCTAGAAACACCCACACGGTATATCTAATAGTTGTAGTTACAGATTTTTTTAATGACAAAATGGTCATATGAAAATCATTCTAATTTAAAACTGAACAGTAATATGTGCCTGTATAATAACTACAAATTACTTCTTTTTAACATAAGGAGATTTACTATTTGAACACTTTTGTAGAGGTAGCTCTGAGAATAAAACCCGCCCATATAATGACGTCCTTTGTCCCATATAAAACGAACCATTACTTTTATCACGAGCATGGAATAAATTATTGCAATGATTAGGCATTGAAAAAATATAATGACTTGTTTGTGCCTCCACATGTTTACATTTGAACATTTCTGTGGTGTTACCCGCTTTAACGTGTTTGATCATTAGATATTTTAACAAGACAAAGTCATTATCTTGCTATTTCAATATTTTATTTGGTTGAGATGAAAAAATACCAAGATTCATATAAAGTCATACATTTTGACGTGGCTTCATTTTCGAGGATTTTTTCAATAATTGTTTATAGATATTTGATTTTGTGGATAAATAAAGTTCCTTAAATCTCAATAATTTTAAGAGTTTGTGGACAAAAAAAATCCTTAAATTAAGAGTACCAAAGAAATCAAAGACAAAAATACCTCCCACGAAAACCTGTGGTTTTACAGGAGCTGATATTAGGATATATTTCCCTACCAATCTAAGTAGTAAATGTACCATGACAAAATACCTACTTGACAAATCATTAAGCAAACATGACTATAAATCATTATATATTATCAATTATCGAAAAATGTTTTTCCTGTCTGATAGCTGGTGCTTGAGGCCTCGATCGGAAGTAGTGACCTTGGAGATATCGCCATTGACGACCTTTCTGTCTACTCAGGCGCATGCGTGCATCCGTAATTATATCATATACCGTTCACTATTTTTTATTTTGTCTTTTGATAAAATAAATCTTAATAAACGGAAAACATTTCCATAAATCTATGTGCAGTGAAGAGATCTAGAAATAAAAACAAATTAATCACCGGCTTGTCTAGTTTTGTGTATTATTTAAATAATTAGCATTTGAATACCCAGTACGTGTTAGGACAAATACAAGGGATTAATAAAGTTAATTAAAGGACATTATTATCATAATGAGGTGTTTTAGAAAAACATTACGATTAATTTTTTTATACTTTGTAAACAACTCACATCAGTTTAAAAATTATCAAATTATCTACAACGACATGAATTATACACGATGATAGGATGAGAGACGGAACAATTATAATGAAAAATAGCAACTCCGATATCAAGTTTTTTGTTAGAGACATAAAATAAAGAGGTCATTCCGAGTATCTTCTTGATAGGTGATACTGTATGACGATGCTGGAAGCAGAGAGAACAAGATTAGCGATATGAAAGAAATAGTTCACATTCAGATTGGACAATGTGGAAACCAAATCAGTTCAAAGTTCTGGGAAATGCTTTGTGGAGAACACGGTATAGACCCTGCAGGTACTTTTCGAGGGATTCCGGATCTACAGTTAGAACGGATCAACGTTTTCTTCGATGAATCAGAGAGAACACGTTTTGTGCCGAGGTCTGTTTTAGTCGATTTGGAGCCAGGTACCATGGACTCTATACGGTCTGGATTGTATGGACAAATGTTCCGTCCAGATAACTTTGTTTTTGGGCAGAATGGTTCGGGTAATAACTGGGCGAAGGGTTTTTACACAGAGGGAGCTGAACTTATTGAGCAGGTTTTGGATGTGGTGAGAAAGGAGGCCGAAGGTTGTGACCGTCTCCAAGGATTCCAGCTTACCCATTCTCTTGGTGGAGGAACGGGGTCCGGTATGGGAACACTTTTAGCATCTAAAGTACGGGACGAATATCCAGACCGGATCATGTGTACATATTCGATTATGCCATCTCGAAAGGTAAGACTTTTGAAAATTAGAATAAATGTATGTTTACTTCAACGTACTTACAATGGCTATCATTTTCTTTGCCGGAGTCAGTTAGATTCTGTATAGCTAAGAAGAAAATATGAAGAAATGCCGATGTCACTTTATCAACATGAAAATAAAGAGTACTGACAATAAGACCTGATCACCATAAGAAAACAGGATGGTGCTACTTACTTGTGTGTGTGTGTGGTTGTTTTACAATCTTCAAGATTGTGGTCGGTAGACACTGCTGGAGATTTGCCGTAACTTGCATGGCCTGTTTTGTTTAATTTGAATAGTGGTTCAGAATATGTACTGGGCGTTCTGCGAAGATTAACAGATGACAGATATCTGCAAATTACTATATTTACTGGAATATTGAGCTAAAGTCAGTCTCAGTGTGGATTAAGATTTTGCATTCGATCACTTGGATTTTCCTCGGTCACCTCCTGGATTTAACATTAAGGCCTTGTTGCTATAAAGACGGAACAACGATATGACGTGGTTTATTTGCTTTGCTCTTCTGTATTCTATTTGTATGTAGTGGTGCTACTCATTGGTGTGCCTTTTGTACAATATTTGGTGTTGAAAAATGAGATCGTGGCAAACCAAAACATGATTCACAATCTCATAAACATGTAAAAAGATGATTTTGCAGTTATTTAAATTAGTTTACTTTAGCGATAGAGTGTGGCCATCATTTCACTGTGTGTATTTCGGTACAAAACATCATTGTTATATACCTTTGCTTCACAAGCATCCGAAAAAGGCTTCAAATATTCAAAGGTATCATATTTTTAATGATACAAGTCAACTGTTGAGTTTAACGATACTGAAAACGCGATGACTGTCTTAACCCATTTTTCGGACAAAATTGAGGGATAAAAATGAACACTTGTAAGCTTTTTGAAGATAGAGTAGTCATACGGTGTCGCACCATCCCACCACAAACACTAGTTTTCCTCCAGTATCTTCATTTGCACAAGTACACTGATAGAGGTTTTCATTTGACATTCTTGTAGCACACAAGTGGTAGCTTCTGGTACAGGTGTCTGGTTTTATGTAACCATTGTTAATTTATTGGAAATCGCATTAGCGATGAAAGAGGTGTTTCCACCCTGATACAGAAGACTTGTATCACATCCTTGTATTGTTGATAAGCAGAGAGTGGTTATCTTGACTCGTAAACGTAAAACGATAATCTTTTCGCTATTATCTGTTTAAGTTTTTAAAGATCACATTTTACTAATTCACTTTAAATTTATTTCATTGACCTTTGACATTGAAGAATCTGCAGTAAATACTCAAATATAAGGTCTGATTTATTCTTACAGGTCTCCGAGGTCATCACGGAGGCTTACAACGCCATCTTGTCAGCTAACCAGCTCCTAGAAAATGCAGATGAAACATTCTGCATCGATAACGAAGCTTTATTCGACATCTGCTACCGGACTCTTAAATTTACAGCACCAAGCTACGGTGATCTCAACCATCTTGTCTCCAATGTTATGTCCGGTGTAACGTCGTCTATGCGCTTCCCTGGTCAGTTGAATTCTGATCTCCGTAAGTTGGCTGTGAATATGATACCTTTTCCGCGGCTCCACTTTCTCATTCCTGGGTTTGCTCCCTTGATTGCGAGAGGCGGAATCCAGTACCGTGCTCTTTCAGTTGCTAATCTAACTCAGCAGATATTTTCCGTCAAAAACATGATGGGAGCGTGTAATCCTAACCGAGGACGATATCTCACAGTAGCAGCCATGTTTAGAGGTAACCTTTCTATGGCAGAAGTTGAACAAGAAATGCATGCCAACAAAAATAAAAATTCTAGTCAATTTGTTGAGTGGTTGCCTTGCAATATACAAACAGTTGTTTGTGACATTCCGCCTCGCAATCTCAAAATGTCAGCTACCTTTATTGGAAATAATACGTCAACTCAGGAAATATTCCGGCGTATATCGGAGCAATTTACGGGGATGTTCAGAAGACAGGCCTACATTCACCTATACACCGGGGAAGGTATGGACTTGATGGAGTTCCAAGAGGCCGAGTCTAATATCAATGATTTGGTGTCCGAGTATCAACAGTACCAAGAAGCTAACAAAGATGATAAGGACTTGTCAGACGAAGAAGAAATCTGACGCTCTATCACAAATGAGGAAACAAACATCAGGAATGTGTCAATGGGATGTTCTAATGGATGTGATATCGAGCCCTTTAGAACCGCCTTCTGAGCATGCTTATTTGTTTAATTATCTTTTAACATAAATCTATCCTGACACTAGTTTCTAACCTCATTTGATTAAACCTCCTTCTCTTCTTTGTGATAAAAAGTTAAATATGAAAACCATCCAGTGCATCTAGCTCCCCATCTCATCTAGATTTTGACATTCTTTTGATTTTCTTTGGTTGCCTCTAACTTTCTAAATTTAAGTCTTAAGCATCCTAAGAGTCCTAACAGGTTACAACTGCAGTATTGCGTAGATACATTCTGTATCAAATTGTAAATAATGGCTAGTTCTATAAGTTCTTAGTTTTTAACATTCTCGTTTTTCTCCGTTTGCAGGGCATTTTGTAAGTCAACAGGGGCATCATAGCCTCGTGCTCTGTTTAAATCGGGGATACTTAGCAAAAAAGTCCATCTCTTATTACTACTTACTACTATTAGAATATGCATGCAATGAACACAACATAGTATAAGAAAGTAGGCTTCATTACCACAAAAAGATAGCCCATGATTTTTATATATATAATGTCATCACATGATATGGGCGCGTCATCTGATTTAATGATAAGCGATATAGAAATAGCAACACGACATTATTTTTAAACCACATTATCAGTGCTACTGTTCGCACGCTTCGCTTATTTCATTGTCTTATAATAAAGTCTCGAAGTTAAATGAATTCATTCTCTCCTTAGCACTGATTTAGTAGTATATCTGTAACAAGGTATAAATGTCAAAAAGTTCGACAAATCATAGCACTTGAAGAAGTAAGTGTTATGTATATAAATGTAAATATCGACAAATCATAGCACTTGAAGAAGTAAGTGTTATGTATATAAATCCTAACACTGGCAGAAGTAAGTGTAATGTATATAAATCCTAACACTGGCAGAAGTAAGTGTAATGTATATAAATCATAACACTGGCAGAAGTAAGTGTTATGTATATAAATCATAACACTGCCAGAAGTAAGTGTAATGTATATAAATCCTAACACTGGCAGAAGTAAGTGTTATGTATATAAATCCTAACACTGGCAGAAGTAAGTGTTATGTATATAAATCCTAACACTGGCAGAAGTAAGTGTTATGTATATAAATCATAACACTGGCAGAAGTAAGTGTTATGTATATAAATCATAGCACTGGCAGAAGTAAGTGTAATGTATATAAATCATAGCACTGGCAGAAGTAAGTGTTATGTATATAAATCCTAACACTGGCAGAAGTAAGTGTTATGTATATAAATCCTAACACTGGCAGAAGTAAGTGTTATGTATATAAATCCTAACACTGGCAGAAGTAAGTGTTATGTATATAAATCCTAACACTGGCAGAAGTAAGTGTTATGTATATAAATCATAACACTGGCAGAAGTAAGTGTTATGTATATAAATCATAACACTGGCAGAAGTAAGTGTTATGTATATAAATCATAACACTGGCAGAAGTAAGTGTTATGTATATAAATCATAACACTGGCAGAAGTAAGTGTAATGTATATAAATCCTAACACTGGCAGAAGTAAGTGTTATGTATATAAATCATAACACTGGCAGAAGTAAGTGTTATGTATATAAATCCTAACACTGGCAGAAGTAAGTGTAATGTATATAAATCATAGCACTGGCAGAAGTAAGTGTTATGTATATAAATCATAACACTTGAAGAAGTAAGTGTAATGTATATAAATCATAACACTGGCAGAAGTAAGTGTTATGTATATAAATCATAACACTGGCAGAAGTAAGTGTTATGTATATAAATCATAACACTGGCAGAAGTAAGTGTTATGTATATAAATCCTAACACTGGCAGAAGTAAGTGTTATGTATATAAATCATAACACTGGCAGAAGTAAGTGTTATGTATATAAATCCTAACACTGGCAGAAGTAAGTGTAATGTATATAAATCATAGCACTGGCAGAAGTAAGTGTTATGTATATAAATCATAACACTTGAAGAAGTAAGTGTAATGTATATAAATCATAACACTGGCAGAAGTAAGTGTTATGTATATAAATCATAACACTGGCAGAAGTAAGTGTTATGTATATAAATCATAACACTGGCAGAAGTAAGTGTTATGTATATAAATCATAACACTTGAAGAAGTAAGTGTTATGTATATAAATCCTAACACTGGCAGAAGTAAGTGTAATGTATATAAATCATAACACTGGCAGAAGTAAGTGTTATGTATATAAATCATAACACTGGCAGAAGTAAGTGTTATGTATATAAATCCTAACACTGGCAGAAGTAAGTGTTATGTATATAAATCCTAACACTGGCAGAAGTAAGTGTTATGTATATAAATCCTAACACTGGCAGAAGTAAGTGTTATGTATATAAATCCTAACACTGGCAGAAGTAAGTGTTATGTATATAAATCATAACACTGGCAGAAGTAAGTGTTATGTATATAAATCCTAACACTGGCAGAAGTAAGTGTTATGTATATAAATCATAACACTGGCAGAAGTAAGTGTTATGTATATAAATCCTAACACTGGCAGAAGTAAGTGTTATGTATATAAATCCTAACACTGGCAGAAGTAAGTGTTATGTATATAAATCCTAACACTGGCAGAAGTAAGTGTTATGTATATAAATCATAACACTGGCAGAAGTAAGTGTAATGTATATAAATCATAACACTGGCAGAAGTAAGTGTTATGTATATAAATCCTAACACTGGCAGAAGTAAGTGTTATGTATATAAATGTAAATATCGACAAATCCTAACACTGGCAGAAGTAAGTGTTATGTATATAAATCCTAACACTGGCAGAAGTAAGTGTTATGTATATAAATGTAAATATCGACAAATCCTAACACTGGCAGAAGTAAGTGTTATGTATATAAATCATAACACTGGCAGAAGTAAGTGTTATGTATATAAATCATAACACTGGCAGAAGTAAGTGTTATGTATATAAATCATAACACTGGCAGAAGTAAGTGTTATGTATATAAATCCTAACACTGGCAGAAGTAAGTGTAATGTATATAAATCATAACACTGGCAGAAGTAAGTGTAATGTATATAAATCCTAACACTGGCAGAAGTAAGTGTTATGTATATAAATCCTAACACTGGCAGAAGTAAGTGTTATGTATATAAATCCTAACACTGGCAGAAGTAAGTGTTATGTATATAAATCATAACACTGGCAGAAGTAAGTGTTATGTATATAAATCATAACACTGGCAGAAGTAAGTGTAATGTATATAAATGTAAATATTTTGTTGTACATGTTGATGATTTCTTACCATAATTATACTGTGCAACACCAGACAAAATATTTTAAAGCCTGAATAAAGACATATTTATTCTATCCATTGATAGGTTCAGATGAAATCGAACCATTCTTGTTTATTTTCTAGTTGTGAGCTATTTATCTACCAGACCTATTCAGTATCGACCTGGGTGGAATAAGTATATAACTTGTCATCTCTTATTTTAGATTTAATCTATGGACATATGCCTACGTACAATTTTTATGTTGTATTTGTGCTATTTCTGTGATGTTGCTTTAATGAGAAATGCAGATATGGAGAAAGCCGGGCAAATCAGATGACCAGTCTTCATTGGCGCCGCAGCTTCAAGTCATTAACAGTACATACAATCAAATACAAATAATTATACACAGGGAAATATTTGTTAATGAAATACAAAGCCACGAATTAAACCACAATAATGATTTAATTGCAATACAATGATTGATAATGTAGTGAAAATAGGGGAAATTATCTCCCCTGGTTATCACCACTGAAGCAATGTGACGTTGACACCGCGAGCTATCGTGGCGCGAAACCACCCGACAACTTTCTCTTGACTCTTGATCATCGAACTGCACAGACATGTGTACTAGACGTGAGTAGAATTACTGTACCGTTTGTTGGTTGGGAGCTGGGATCAACACACGGAATATTTCTACAATATGGATGAATCAAAAATAGGCAAAATTAGCCAAAACGCGTTTGAGGAAAATTAACTAGATAGAGCTACACTCGTTTGGCAGTGGGAGAATGATGCCCACAGGAAACATATACGAAAAGGAACAAGATCTGGGTATCGGTACAGAGATCAGATATTCAAACAGTGAAGACTACTGACATGGTTGACAAACACAATAATATTGAGGTAAAAAGTAAACTTACAATCATTATAAAGTATTTGTTACAATGGTAGATAAAATCAATTATGGATACAGACAAGTGTATTACAAAACAGTTCTGAGTGAAGTCGTTCAAGAGTGACGCCAGTGTTCACAATACACACATTGCTCTATGCATATTTAAACCAGGTCACATACTCCTTCACGGAAATAAATGTCTCTGGCGTTTACCGTGTCTACACTATATTCATACAAATAATGCGAATATGATTAGAGTAGAATCATGATTCAAGAGAATTGCGCTAGCAACATTACAACATTGAGAAGGCTAATTAATCCACCTCTAGATACATATATTGGTGAATACAGCCTAATGTATATTTTTATTGATGAAATCAAGCGGTGTGATAAACTATAAAACAATATTTTGGTCGTTAGAAACACTGTTTTTATTGTTTTAGTTGTTTGTATAACGAAGTTTATTTACTCTTTGGGTTTGTTTGAATTTTACTATTATTATTTAATTTTGGTGTCATTTGTATAGAAGTTACTTGAAGGCACGTGTGTGCTTGTGTATGTAGTATTATTTATGTGTATAGTATCGACAGTGAACATTCCGCTCGGAACCCTTGGGGACACAAATGCTTCCGCTGTATATACAATAAACCAGGTTTACAAATGCATGTGATTTTTAAACCTGGCTAATGAATATATACGAAAGTTTTATTCTTTTCAATTTGGAAATAGGATGGTTTCGTTCCTGGAAGGATACATTGCAATGAAAGAAACTATTATCTAATTACAACGTATTTCCGTGTGTGATTCATTCACGTATAAGTGCAGGCGGCCAGGGTCGAGTAAGTTTGTATAGTAAGTATAGTAGCTAGGCCGTCATAATAGGACAAACTTACCTTACAAAAAGACATACGGGTTTATATAGCCCAGAGGAAAAACCGTTATTATCCCAATCTGGAATTCTTTAGATATACTACATAGTCAGGGAGTCTAAACCGTCAGGGAGTGGTTGTGAGAGCAGTGAAGACGAAGAGGATGTCTTGTCGACGACATGGGACAACGTCGAGTACTTATAGAAATACAAGATACGGTAAGACTCAATAATATATACCTATTTAATGTCCACTATCATTATATATACCTAATTAATGTCTGGTATCATTATATATACCTAATTAATGTCTGGTATCATTATATATACCTAATTAATGTCTGGTATCATTATATATACCTAATTAATGTCTGGTATCATTATATATACCTAATTAATATATACCTAATTAATGTCTGGTATCATTATATATACCTAATTAATGTCTGGTATCATTATATATACCTAATTAATGTCTGAAATTATACCTAATTAATGTCTGGTATCATTATATATACCTAATTAATGTCTGGTATCATTATATATACCTAATTAATGTCCACTATCATTATATATACCTAATTAATGTCTGGTATTATACCTAATTAATGTCTGGTATCATTATATATACCTAATTAATGTCTGGTATCATTATATATACCTAATTAATGTCTGGTATCATTATATATATGTAATTAATGTCTGGTATCATTATATATATGTAATTAATGCCTGGTATCATTATATATATATACCTAAATAATGTCTGGTATCATTATATATATACCTAATTAATGTTTGGTATCATTATATATATACCTTATTAATGTCTGGTATCATATATATATATGTAATTAATGTCTGGTATCATTATATATACCTAATTAATGTCTGGTATCATTATATATATACCTAATTAATGTCTGGTATCATATACATATACCTAATTAATGTTTGGTATCATTATATATATACCTAATTAATGTCTGGTATCATTATATATATGTAATTAATGTCTGGTATCATTATATATATATATATATATCTAATTAATGTCCACTATCATTATATATACCTAATTAATGTCTGGTATCATTATATATACCTAATTAATGTCTGGTATCATTATATATATCTAATTAATGCCTGGTATCATTATATATATATCTAATTAATGCCTGGTATCATTATATATATACCTAATTAATGTCTGGTATCATTATATATATATATACCTAAATAATGTCTGGTATCATTATATATACCTAATTAATGTCTGGTATCATTATATATACCTAATTAATGTCTGGTATCATTATATATATAGCTAAATAATGTCGGGTATTATACCTAATTAATGTCCACTATCATTATATATATATAATGTCTGGTATCATTATATATATATGTAATTAATGCCTGGTATCATTATATATATATACCTAATTAATGTATGGTATCATTACATATACCTAATTAATGTCCACTATCATTATATATACCTAATTAATGTCCACTATCATTATATATATATATCTAATTAATGCCTGGTATATATATATATATCTAATTAATGTCTGGTATCATTATATATATACCTAATTAATGCCTGGTATCATTATATATATATATATATCTAATTAATGTCTGGTGTTCCTCGGACGATATGTGTGATTTTTTTTTTCAAATAAATACTTGTCCTTTGCCGAGGGATGTAACCCGACAAAAATTGTTACGATTCAACTGAATAACTAGCCCCGGTTCAATCAGACTTACGACGAGAAGTTAGGAAACAGATTCCTTAGTAAAGTCAAAACTAATCGTTCTCCAGGCAATCTGACTAATTCCGGAAACAACTCTAGTAATGCCGTTATTAAAAAATGTGAATAAACTTGAATCTTGTAGCTCCTGGCTATAGTGCTGCTTAGTACCCTTGGTAAAAAAATTAACATTTAGTTGTCAAATATTTAAATAACTATTTACTTGATAATTCATTAATCAACCAATATCAATCAGGTTTCCAGCCAGGTCATTCTGCTGACCATCAAATTATAGAAATATATCAAACATTATGCGAAAATATTGAAAAAATGCTGTCGACATGGATAGATTTTTGTGATATTTCCAAAGCATTCGATCGTGTGTGACACAAGGGACTGAGTGTAAAGTTAGCAAAGTATGGTATCGGTGGAAAACTTCTAGTCTAGTAAAACAATTACATCAGTTATAGAAAGCAAAAAGTCTTTGTCGTAAATAGTTAATCTCCCGTTAGATCTGTAAACGCAGGCGTACCACAAGGCTTGGAATTAGGTCCACTACTTTTTATTATATATATATTAACGATGTATCTCATAACCTTGAAAGTCTCTCTAAATTGGACAGAAAAGTGGCTCATCAAATTTGAGACCCTGAACACGGAAGCTTTACATATTTCAAACATTGAACATGATCATGTCATTGATATCCAATTTAATAATGTGGGTGTTGGCTTTGTTGGTCATCATAATCATCTAGGAGTTGTTCTAGATGAAAATTGTAAATGGGGTAGACACATAAAGACATATGGAACAATGCATCCAAACAGGTAAGTATTCTCCGTAAACTTTAATACATGTTGAATAAAACGAACTGCAGTCAGCATGCATACTGCCATTATAATAGTAGTGTTGTGAAGTTAAGGATGTGTGTTCTCTCTGTGATGCAGACAAACTGAAAAAAAAAACTTCAGTAAGAATCCGCTCGAATCATTACATGTTTACCAGCATATCATATATCAACAGATAATCTCTCTGTATCGAAAGTGGGTGGTTTAGAACTGTCATCAGAACGACATTCGAGAAGAAAACTTTTCTACAAAATAAGTAATAAACTCACACCTATTTATCTCTCCTCCTTATTGCCACCTTTATCATCAGAAAACTCACAATATAACCCCCGCCATGCACAAAACTATTACCTGGAAATTTCCGACTACAACTAACGAACTTATCTTTTTTCCCTTCTACTATCCGACTTTGGAACCAACTCGACCTTGAACTTAAACAGAAAGTTTCTTATTCGGTTTTTAAAAAATCCATTCGAACCGCTGTAATATTTCCAACTTATGATTTGATTGATGATCGGAAAGCTAAAAAATACTTTAAACAACGACCTTTTCAGATCCAATTTTATAGCTTTCCGTCACTGCCAATGCGGACATCTTCTTGAAGACACTACCACTACTTTTTTGTTTAAAAAAAAACAAAGCGGATCAGAGAGTCGTTCTTTACCGAGAACTAAATGATTTTATCCTACTAGACCTGCAGTAGCTACTTCATGGTAATGATAACTTCTCTTAGGAAGATAATGTAAAAATTGTCAAATCACTCAGCAATACTTACGTGACTCAAACAGATTTTGATCAATCTCTCTCTCCTTGTCTCACACTTTCTCCTTATCTCCCACTCTCTCCTTCTCTACCACTCTCTCCTTGTCTCCCACTCTTTCCTTCTCTCCCACTCTCTCCTTCTCTACCACTCTCTCCTTGTCTCCCACTCTCTCCTTCTCTCCCACTCTCTCATTATCTCCCACTTTCTCCTGATCTCCCAGTCTCTCCTCTCCCACTCTCTCCTTATCTCCCGCTCTCTCCTTATCTCCCGCTCTCTCCTTCTCTCCCACTCTCTCCTTCTCTACCACTCTCTCCTTGTCTCCCGCTCTCTCCTTCTCTCCAACTCTCTCCTTATCTCCCACTCTCTCTTTCTCTCCCACTCTCTCCTTCTCTTCCGCTTTCTCCTTCTCTACCAATCTCTCCTTGTCTCCCGCTCTCTCCTTGTCTCCCGCTCTCTCCTTCTCTCGCACTCTCTCCTTGTCTCCCACTCTCTCCTTCTCTCCCACTCTCTCCTTCTCTCCCACTCTCTCCTTGTCTCCCGCTCTCTCCTTCTCTCCCACTCTCTCCTTCTCTCCCACTCTCTCCTTCTCTCCCACTCTCTCCTTCTCTACCACTCTCTCCTTGTCTCCCGCTCTCTCCTTATCTCCCGCTCTCTCCTCTACCGCTCTCTCCTTCTCTCCCACTCTCTCCTTCTCTACCACTCTCTCCTTATCTCCCGCTCTCTCCTTCTCTACCACTCTCTCCTTATCTCCCGCTCTCTCCTTCTCTCCCACTCTCTCCTTCTCTCCCACTCTCTCCTTCTCCCACTCTCTCCTTCTCTCCCACTCTCTCCTTCTCTCCCGCTCTCTCCTTATCTCCCACTCTCTCCTTCTCTCCCACTCTCTCCTTCTCTCCCACTCTCTCCTTCTCTCCCGCTCTCTCCTTCTCTCCCGCTCTCTCCTTCTCTCCCGCTCTCTCCTTCTCTACCACTCTCTCCTTCTCTAACACTCTCTCTCCCTAAAATAAAATGTTAAATATCACTCCTCACTCCGGTCCACTAGTAGTGGGAATTCCAGGAAGGACCCGGATGACAAGAGAAAGTGAGATAAGGCACATGATGTGATGAACTTAAGAATAGCTGCAAGGTTATTGAGAGTGTAACTAATACTAGTGTTTCCGGTTAAGTAGAAACTGGTTACATTTACAAAAAAATAATTGTATACATGACTCTCTCTCTCTCTCTCTCTCTCTCTCTCTCTCTCTCTCTCTCTCTCTCTCTCTCTCTCTCTCTCTCTCTCTCTCTCTCTCTCTCTCTCCGTGTAATTTTGTATTTAAATATGTCGGTTTGTCGTGTCATTATGTATTTATCACACATTATGGGGAAAGGGCTTGATATAAGTTATAAAAAACCTTGTACCCAGCCATGTATATCCAGTGTACATCGCTGAGATGAACCTACAAAGTCCGAAGTACATATCACACTATTGAATCTAAAACATTTGACATACATTCCATGAAAGATTTATCTGCAGGAAGCAATGACCTCCACAACAATTTTGGAGGAAATATATCCACATGAATATTTTAGTTACATAAGACCTCAGCGGATGTAGATTTCCGTAGAAAGATCACAGCTAAAGGCGTATGATATATATAAAGGAAGCTAATTATAATTAAAGGCACATGACCTCAACGAACAAATATTTCCATACGAAGCTTATAGTCCTCGCCGATGTCAATAATATATTTATTAGAGTAAACTTGCCTAATGGGTATGGAATATCACATTACCAATACGGAAATTGCATATTCCTTAATAACGGACATGTTCTTGGGTGAAGATGATGATTTATCAACGTGACTAAGTGATATTTCCTGGAACCGAAGGCGTATCAACAGGTCGATAACTGTCTGACCTTACCGGAGTATTTCCACTTGATAAATTATCATTTCCTGTCATTTGAGAGCGAGAAGGTTTAAAACCTTTTATATTACAATCTCTAATACATTAAAAATAATGTTGGATACAATGGATGATTTAATATTGCTAAAAATTTAATAAAGTTAATAGGAAATAAATTTGAATGGTGATGTAAAACTCTATTTCAGCATAAGATTTCAACAACAATCTGTCCAGTTCAGCAATCGAATTGGTTTTTGGCTGACTTGATTTTTTCAAAAGATATAATTTTCTGGTGTTTTCGGGTCTTTTTCTTCCAACACACTTTAAAACTGTTCCTCGTTTATCGTGACATATCTTCTGTCGTCTGCATCTTGCCAAGAAATGAATCATGGTGTTCTAAAGTCATGGCTTTGTTGCCTTATTTGGGTACAAGCTGGTGTTGCTAGATTGTTCTATCCACCTATAACGTTATTATGACGTCACAGAAAGTCCGTCGTTTCTATATTTGGGTACAAACTAGTACTGTTGGATCGATTAAAGATTGGTATTATATAATTAGTGATTCCTTTTGAGGTGAATAGATCGTATTCGCCCCAAATTGTCGGTACTTCTTTTTATGGTATTCGCGAAATCCTTCTCTGTCAATATTTTGCATTTATCTCGTCTAAGGTGGTAAACCTGTTTTTAGGCTGTCCTGGATTGCAGGTTATATAATAAAGTCATTGTCATTTCTAATAAAGGAGGTGAATACGATTATATATCTACCATTAAAGGAAATATTCACCGAGCCCGATAGGACTGCCTTATCGGGTAGATAAATCATCGAATTCACCTCAAAAAAGTCAATGATTGTATAATATTTTATAGAAAAGGATAATGATATTATATGTTGCTTGGTCGTCCCTTTTGGCATTGCTTTTAGATGTAGACTGGATATTACATATAAGGGAAATCTCTGAAACACCAGTTTACTGTCAAATTAGTTTGTGAGCTTATTTTATTTATTTATTTATTTATTTATTTATTTATTTATTTATTTATATTAAACAGCAAATAATGTTAAGAGATATAATCAGACTAAGTAAAATAATGAAAATTAGAGATAAGTTGTAGTTTAGAGACTAAATTTTCGATCTATTTTACATGTAACAAGATGGCTACTTAATGATATTCATTCAAAACCATGTAAGGAGAAAGAACTGTCAATGCATGTAGTAAATCAGTGACATTGCCCTGTGCTCAAGGTCACTTGAGTACATGTTTTGTGGACTCGTATATTCTGTTTACATCATGATAAGAAATTTCGTTCATTATTCACTTGAATCATGTTTTGAAGTAACGTGGGTCCAATATGTTAAAAAAGATTAATCAACCAGACAATCAACAGCAAAGTGCTTCTGTCAATCATCTGTTTTAAGTAGAGAAATGGTTCTTAACGAAATCATTTGATCTAAACATTTCTGAAACTGAAAACATTTCTGAAACTGAAAACATTTTGATCCTCTCCCCTCCTCGGTTTGAAAAATTGATTTTCAAATTATTGGTGACGTCACCGTGTGTTACTATGTAGGCAACCATGTGGACCAACTGAGACAGGAAAACTAAGGTAATTTTAATTTTGCGTCCGTGCTTGTTCCATGACATTGGTTACAGTGTTGGCCTATGAAACTTCAGGTGAAAATCAGAGTTGTATGGTTGCGCTTTCTATCATGACGGTTTGTCATAAAGCTGAGAAACGGACCGTTTGTGTTAATGTGTTTGTATCTGTTGGTAATACACTGTAATTGTAATTGCTCTAGATAACATGGGACGGGTCTTCAATAACTTGTTTGAGAAATTTCAGTGAATATTTATGTACACTACGTCTAGAAGAAAATAAGTACTAGATGACACCTAATAAAATGATGCATTTTCATTTTTTTGTGTAGTGCGTTAGTATAACAAACATAATGACTTCTCTATTAATCGCCTTGATTTTTAATTTGATGCCAGTTTAACATATTCTCACAGCACGAGAGAGCACAGCGAACAGATATGTCTTCCCACATACAAGTACATCACTAGACGACTTCGGAAACGTCGTTCTAGAGGACTCTTTCCAAAGTGAGGTAAGCTTGATAAGAAAATTTCGTTAAGTTTATGCATCTTAACTTATCAAAAAATCAAATCCTAATTTTCTCCAACAATCATTCTTCAGTTGCTGTAATATTGTCGTTAATTTCGTTTTCGAAATTGTATATGTTCATTGTTTTCAAGGCTGAATCGATAATGATAATAACATGGAGACCGTGAAAGACATTGAAGTGAAAACCACTGTTTTATAACTTTTGAAAGTACAAGTCATTGCAGCTTTCAACCATCGAATGAAGAAAGAAAAAAAGAAAGTAAAATAAACGCACATTACGGTACCTTATATATCGTGGAGATATCTTTTTATCATTGAAGGTAACAGAGAAAACAAACGTGTACCTGATAGGGAAGCAGGAAGCTGAAAACGAGGTTTTTATAGACAGAGTGATAATTGCAGAGGGAGATAAGGACAAAGCTTTACTATATATTGTGGATAAGCTGCCGAATGAAGAAAGGGTAAGCCGAAAATAAAATACCACAGGGGTCAAACAAATTCCCAAAAAGAAAAGAAAAATCCACGAGAAGTCGGTATGAAAAAATTAATTAATGTTCAAAGGTCACCGGCAATGAAAATGAAAAGTTGATTTAGACGATCATTTGTGAAACTTATATAAAAGTAGTCACGTGTCAACGTTTTAGAAACGCGCTTACCAACAACGAGAAAAAGCTTCATGAGCAAATGAGTTAAATGTATTTGCAAAAAAAACTACTTTAATAGCTAGCTTTATACATATTGGAATGTTAAAGCACCTGGTAGTCCATAATAAATATCTTTTTCATTTTCGTTGGTCCATATAAAAGGTTGCATGATGTCTTTCAAATATTGTGAAACCAAGCCTCGAAGTATCTTAAACATTAATAACAGTTCATGTTGTTGACGTCTATGAGAAAGAGATCCCCAATGAAGTTTTTAATACAATTTGTGGTGGGAGGTACCGCAATCCTGAAATGATTCTAGCAGCTTCTAAATGAGCAGTTTCTAACAGTTGCTTCGATTGCTCAGTGCAGTTATCCCATAACACATCTTCACACTCTAATATCAGCATGAGATATGTTCTATAAATTTTCAAAAGTGGTTTTTATACTTTATTTTTAGAGATTTTTTGTAAACATTTACCCTTTTTAATGCTTTTTCATATTTATAATCTACATGATGAATCTATTTACCATCTTCAGAAAAAATACACATAAATGTTTATGACTAATTAAACTGGGAAATTATCAAATAATTTATCTGGATGAAGTATATCTTTTTTCATGGTAAATATATGATTGAAACAGTTTTAGAGGGATTAAAATTAATACCCCACATCTAACCCCTAATACTAATATTCAAAAGATTTTCTGAAATTTTATTTGCTATTTCAATATTGTTATTGTCAACAATTTCACTTAAAGACGTATCATCTGCAAATAACTTTATGTCACTTGTTACAACATCAGTTATGTTATTTGTGTATATGTTAACTAAACCTTCTATCCAAACCATTTCTATGTTATTTCGTTCTAGATCATTGTAAACAACAATACATTTTGTATATATGATAATTCCATCTCTAAAATATAGCTGTCTATGTCTTCGGTAAAACTCACGAGAAAAGCTGTCTAATGTAAGAACACTGTCTGGTATCGAAGGTTCTGTAATACACAATATATCACTTTCGGAGAGTTCACTTTCTAAAATATCTAACTTATTTCTAACTGATTCAGATGAGAAATTTGAAGATTGCGCAGGGAACCAGGATTTAATTCAGTATCATAACCCAATAGCAAGGGAAATACTAAAACAAAAAAAAATGAACATTGTTTTCAAGGAAAATTAGAACATAATTACTGAACATCTCAGAAAATATACAACCTACACTGTGTAGTACATTACTGCCACATCGTACTTAATTAAGTATGGAGAAACGGATATCTAAGTGAACCTGCACCAAGTGGTACACGGGATACAAAGGGGGACAAAATATACAACCTACACTGTGTAGTACATTACTGCCACATCGTACTTAATTAAGTATGGAGAAACGGATATCTAAGTGAACCTGCACCAAGTGGTACACGGGATACAAAGGGGGACAAAATATACAACCTACACTGTGTAGTACATTACTGCCACATCGTACTTAATTAAGTATGGAGAAACGAATATCTAAGTGAACCTGCACCAAGTGGTACACGGGATACAAAGGGGGACAAAATATACAACCTACACTGTGTAGTACATTACTGCCACATCGTACTTAATTAAGTACGGAGAAACGAATATCTAAGTGAACCTGCACCAAGTGGTACACGAGATACAAAGGGGGACAAAATATACAACCTACACTGTGTAGTACATTACTGCCACATCGTACTTAATTAAGTACGGAGAAACGAATATCTAAGTGAACCTGCACCAAGTGGTACACGGGATACAAAGGGGGACAAAATATACAACCTACACTGTGTAGTACATTACTGCCACATCGTACTTAATTAAGTATGGTGAAACGAATATCTAAGTGAACCTGCACCAAGTGGTACACGGGATACAAAGGGGGACAAAATATGACAAAATAAACTTGTGTGAGGACACATTATATACAACATTATATATTTATATACAGAACCAACAAAACTGGGTACGTCATAATCTGCTTAGGGCTAATTTATATATTACTTAATAAATATTACATTTTTCCTCTCCGACTCCTGAAGAAAGTATCTTTAAATTGTCAGCGATGTAAATCATCCCAGTAATCTGCACGCTACACTTTGAATAGAGCAATTCCACTATGGATAAGTAAATCAGGTTGTTCGTGCCAAATAGACTTGAAAGACAATGGAATCATTTGAGACAAGCAGCCAAGCTGTCCCATCGTGTCAAAAAAATATAGTTTCGGGATTTAATTTCATTGTTTAATAATGATTTATTTGAATTAAATATATGATCAATTGATTTAGCATGCGATACCTCACTGCGCATGCTCACGGCACTATACGTTATAGTATTATTTAAACAATTCTATTATGGAAGGATGTAATTGATATGAATCCGTTGTACACAATCACAATAAACCATCCGTGACGGCCCAAAGCGCTGATATCTATATTTTGATATACATAAAAGTTAACATTAGGGTTTATAATAAGGGTACAATATCCGCTTTCTTAGTCTGCTTAGTCTCAGTATGAAAATATACAGGTAGTTTAAACATATTTTATTTATATCAAATATATTCAGTGGGATTGGGCAAAAGTTATCAAACTTATATTAAGCCCTTTCCCAATAATCTTTAACAATATACATAAACACAAGTATTATATAATGTATACAATACATATATATTCTATTTACATATCAATACTGGTAATTAACCTTAAGAGAAATAATAATAAAGTTTATCCCGGCATTAACAGGGTTCATCTACCAGAACATGCTGCTTTTTTTTACAATCATATAATTAACGAGCCAATTAAAACGTTTCCCTCTTATACCATAAGTTCACGTCCTGTCTCCGTCCCACCCCGCGCCAGTGTCAAAGGCTTTCGAAATATCACGAAAACTAGGCATGTAGGATGCATTTTCTGCATATTCTCACATGAAGTGTGATAAATTTCAATAAGTTGATGAACAGTCGAGGGATCTGGATGAAAACAAGACTGGTATTTATATATTAATGAATTTTCAAGCCAGTGATTTTTAAAGTATTTTACAACAAGTCTTTCAAATACTTTCTAAACAGTACGAAGTAACGATATTGGCCTGTAATTTGCAAAAAATATACTTAACCTTTTTAAATAGTAGTACTACTTAAGCATGCTTCTATGGTTTTGGGAAAACTCCAGTTTCCAAAAATATCTAAAGATGAGAGAAAACGGTAAAGCTACCGATGTTGCTGTATTTTTTACACATGTAAATAACACGTCTTGACACCAGGTGTTCTCTAAGGTATGGCATGAAAGGAATGTCAACACTTCCTGAAACTGATATATATCGTTCAATGAACAAGTTGGGCAGACAGAAGAGTTCACCCGATTGATTTGTTACTTATTGTTCGTCTGAGTTATGGTAGGTTTTGCATTTTTTTCACATCTTTTTTGCGTTTAAGAAGTTTGCATAAACATCTGTGATATCTCACTAAGTTAATAATAATCCTACACAACACAGTATGCTATCCACGGTGAAATAAGACCGATTATGAAACTACCATATCTACACCAGTCACTACCGCCTGGCGGAATTGACGTCACAGATTTTAGGTACCCAAGATTCCCGAAAGCTACTGGGAAAACCCGAACCGCAGACACTTAATCAAACTCATCTGAAGCCGAACGCACCGCCATGTGCCGGTGACCTTTAAGCATGCTTGGTAACTTTCATCAATTTGTTTTGAAACTTCGAATGCATTAAAGTACTACAACGATAAACGATGTTTTCTGGAGGGAAAATGTTGTGACGTCATAAAACATTTATTTTATTGATTTATTGATTGGGTATCTCTTATTGTAGATTTTGATATCACTTTCGATTTTTGCATATTTTTCACAGTCGCCTCCTTGTTAAGTCCCTTAACATTTTTAACGACAAATCCTTGAAAGATGAAACTTCTATATGATCCAGTCCACTCATTATTTGATTAATGCTATCCGCTTGTATCTTGACCCCGAAACTACATTAGGAATTCATAGGTAGACTATTACAAAAGCTCTCTTTTTGTGTAACCATTCTTCTTAAAATTTGGTGTAATGCTGTCAAGGTCCAGGTTCTACTGAACTGTTTGCTGAGTCGAGGCTCGGATCCGTCCGCACACAATGTTTCAGGAGAGACGCCATTACACTATGCCGTGAGGAACAATTTCAAGGGAGTCTGCAAGAAACTTTTAGAGAATGGTGCATGGCCAAATGCTAAAGATAGCAACGGGTTATTGCCATTTGCTATAGCTTTAACTAACGATAATGACGAAATAGCATCCATGCTTATCCTCCACATGAAAAACAACGAGTAAGATACATTAATTCCTATTTTGAACAATATTCCAATATGATTTTTTTGTGCTAAAGAAGTTGACATAATGAGAGTATCATTATTTGAGCGGTCTTATACTGTTTCATATACAACTTGTCATTGCTTGTGGTTGTATATTACAATCGATGATGGCATGTTCCTCTTTAATAACAATAAATGGATGTACATGTATTGTTTTTAGTTTCTTTCACTTTTTTGTTTTTTGAGGGTGCGTATGATGTTTACAAGTTCTGGACCATCTCCAGCAGAATTTAGTTTCCATAAACTTCTTCGATCTGGAAAAATGGAGGTGAGGTTCATTTGTGCTTGCAAAGATTTTTTTTTCATTCGAGTGGAAGCATGTTTCTAAGATTATCAGAAGGTTACTAATTGGGCTAGTGCATCTTCCGAGCTAGATTGTAACATTTTGTTCTTATTGGGTACTTTGAACATTGTGTTTATAAGCTTATGACCACTGAAGAGCTACCTAGTTTGTTCATAATATTGACATTGACCTATTTTGAAGGCCATAGGTGTCAAATATGTCAAAATGTTTAACCAACATCTTCTCAATAACCAAAAGGTCCATGGTGCTATTACTGGGCTTTAAGCATGCTGGGATAAATGGCTACTAATTTGTTCACCTCACCTACTAAAGCAACTTTTCCAAAATAGCCAGGGATCTTGATATTGGGCCTGTATATGTGCATGTATAAAGAAAATTATTTCAAGTTTGCAGAAAATGAATCAACGAATGTCTTCCATGTGAGCTTTAAAGTAGTTGAGCAATTCATTTTAGGCCTATTTGGCCTCTCTTTCATATTTAGGGTTTATAGTCGGATGACCTTTAAAGCCCGTGGCCCTCTTGTTCTTTACAGAAGACAGTATTGTCCATCCTGAATTGTATGATCGATTTAATCGGTACCGATGGAAAAGCTCATGTCTACTTCCATGTATTGGAGAGTGATGAAGAAGGGAGGTGTCCGAGCAAACACAATTTTAACACAAAAGACAGGTCACCCTTTCAAATAATTGCAAAAAGTGGGAACAAGGTAACCTATAGAACAAGAGCGATATATGACCAAACATTATACATAGATACGTGAAAAAGTATATACTTCATCGAACTCGCCATGTCAGTCAATATAAATGGAAATAATGCAAATAAATTCAGAAACGATTGACAAACTTACCAAATTTAATATTTCGAGAGAAAATGGATTTTTTTTTTTTAAAGAAAACATTATTAGGAACACGAATAAAACGAATCGATCTTTGCAATGTAATGTACTTTACCTTTTTCTCTGGTTGACTTGCGACGGTCCTCCCGCTTGTTCTTCAGCGAGGTAGTAATTATCCGATTTCTGTTTGATTTTAGCTGGTAGACATTGCTGGCGAACTTTCAGTCCATAAGATTTGCCGTAACCAGCAAGCCACGTCCATTTTAATTCATACAGAAGATACACTTGCGCCTCCTTATCTGGTTTTTGACTTTCATTTTGATCGATTTGGATTATCCCCATTGGTCTGTGTGGCTTTAACAATTTAGGACCTTCTGACGAGCCATATAAAGTAGTCGTATGGCACGGTTTAATTCATTTAATATACACTTGGTTCTACTTTTATAAATTTGTATTGAAAACTGCTGTTAACTTTTTTAAAAACTTTTTTGCATAATCGTCTTCGTGGTTGTAGTGCTCTTTACATTGATTATTAATGTACCAATGGGAACAACATAAACAGGCTGAATATCGACAAAGAATAACATGTACTTGCCAATTTTTCCTAATTTTAAAGGTATCTCTATAATATCTTTTAATACAAAAGCACTTAAATGACCATGCCCAATACATACATCTACAAATGATACGACGGACTGTTCTACATCAGCTCTTTTCGTACAGCCAGACTCACTTGGACAGTTTTTCACCAAGCTGCATGATAAGCGTGATGATTTCAAGTTCCTATTGAGAATTACATTTTCTAAAAAAAAAAGTAACAATCTCAACCTTAAATGCTTTAGGACTTGTTCCAAAAAAATATTCGTTAGAAATGAAGACAGCTAACAAATAGATTTGAGAGACGCAGACTGATGACAACTTCTATGGTATTATAGTCGCCTTTGGGAATTATGCCGTTTACTTGTGGGATATGAGGTTCAATGCTTGTTAATATGTTTGCTGGTTATGTTACTGTCATTCAAAAACCCGCCATACGTTACTTAGATTTATCAAAGCTTACACGGCATTGTCGTAGAACGAATAAAAGATATCATCATTCTTTTTGTACCGTTTAAAGGGTCAACTTGAAAATGTTTCAATAGTTCATGCTTTCCCTCGTTGCATCCTCTTGTTTTTTTTTTTTTTTTTTTTTTTTTTTTTTTGTTTTGTTTTGTTTTTTTCTTCTTTTTTTTTCATTTAGACAATCGTGAATCACGACGTGATCAGGCTTCTAATACGGAGAAAGTGGAAACATTATGCAAGAGTTCGATTTTTGTGAGTTTTTCCGTTAATAAAACTTCCAACCAAACGATTTACATGCCTTTTACGCATATTCCAAAATAAAGTACTTTTGAGTAAAAGATTTTCCAGTAAACTATTTTGATTAAGATTTGTGAAGTTAAAATGAAAATTGACAAACCAATTCCCAAGCTGTAAGCTTTTATAAACATCATCATAGTGATCTCATTGAGAAATATTTTAATTCTTTGTGCAATATGGAGCTTAACGTGTTTTATGCCCGTTGTTTTGTGTGTTGGTTTCGTTGTTATATACCTTGTTCTCATTTGAGAATGTGACATTACTTACACGCTTATTCTTCCGAAACAACTTGTCTCCACCTAAACATTTCTTGTTTTCATATTTTGCCCTAGTTTTATTGAATTTGAGTTTGGATTATGATTATGTTGACAAGTTGGAATTTTTTATACATGTGCTATTGTTAAATTTTTGATAGGACGCCAGGTTTTCAAAAAGAAATAATTTCTTCTATGGTTTTAAGAAAGTAATCAATATCGATGACGTCAGAAAATATAACAAACATCGCCAAGAACTGTTTGATATTTCTCTTGACTATCTAATTTTTCAACCACCGAATATTATATTTACATACATCTTCTTCCGATATTAAAGGTGCAAAGAAATCAAAACAGATTTAGAACAATGATATGAATTAATTTAAAGCCAGTTTAGATTTAATTTTTTCGAACCTCAATATTATACAGAGGAACTACATGTTTTTGAAATGTACATTCAAAATATCTGTTGATGTTTGACGTGTTACTGTATCGATGATTTTGGTGTCGTTTCGTTACACTTGAGTTGAAAGTTTAGAGAGTTGTATTCATACGAACGTTTCGGTAACTTTATTTCGGATTATGTTTAAATCAATTTTGGTTTGGGTTTTTTTTTCTTCTTACGTCGACAGTATTTGTTCTTTAGATGTAAGCATGATTCTTGGTTTCGTTTTGTAAATATCTACATATTTGTTGGTATAATAGATATTACATAATATATTGATTTTGTTTCCAGAGTGAATGCGATTTTGTTTATGTGTACCCTAGCCTGTTTGGCTTTCGCTGCCATATCCGCCGCCAAGACGGAAAATCCACTGGTCTATAGCGGAGAGTTAGACATCTTCAGGGCAATTTGTGAAGTGCTGAGTGTGATCGCCGCAATCATGACCCTTTTCCAAGAAAGCCATCATATTATTAAGTAATTCATTGTTTCATTGATACTGCTTCCACTATTTTTATCATCACGACCCCGACCCTACCCCCACACACACACACACACACACACACACACACACACACACCCCACACACACACACACGCACGCACACGCACACACACACATACACACACACTCACACTCACACACACACACACACACACACACACACACACACACACACACACACACACACACACACACACACACACACACACACACACACACACTCACACACACACACACACACACACACACACACACTCACACACACACACACACACACACACACACACACACCCTCTCACACACACACACACACACACACACACACACACACACACACACACACACACACACACACACACACACACACACACACACACACACACACACACACACTCACACACACACACACACACACACACACACACACACACACACACACACACACACACACACACTCACTCACACACACACCCTCACACACACACTCACTCACACACACGCACGCACGCACTCACACACACACACACACGCACACACGCACGCACGCACTCTCGCACTCACGCACGCACGCACACACACACACACATTTAATTAGATATTGATCAAATAGTAATTTCAAAACTTTATACAGATGATTTCCTGTTTGGCACAATATCTGCTGGAATAATTTGATTTTCATGTGTTTTTCAATTGTACTTATTTACCAAATTCCTTGCACAGCTGCTGTGATAATCTTATAGCAGATTTTTATGATATCTTCTGAACAGATAATAGAATTAAATGAATGAGTCATACTTTATGACTAAGACAGTAAAACAAAAATTATGATGAATGAGGCATATCGCCTGAGACAATTATGATGAGTGAAATATATCTCCGACCTGCGATAATAGCATTGTCAGTATGAATGGGACACAATTCAAGGTTGTTGCTTTGTGTCTAGGTACTGCATGCTTTTGTAGTCTAAAGATGCAATAGTAGTGCAGCAGAGAAAATTCAACTTTAACGTTCCTTTTCTTGTCCATTCTAGCTGGTTCTACTGTTTTGTTTGTTCTTAATGAATTTTGTCTCGTTGCCTGTTTACTGTCAGACACAAACTCGAATATTTCACGGAGAAGTTTAATTACTTAGAACTAGCATCTGCACTGTTCCTGCTAATCCTGGTTCCGCTTCGCTTCACAAACAATGACAATCAATGGCAGATTGGCTCCGTGGTCTTCATGCTGTGGACTCTCCGGATATTCAAATATGCATCCGTGTTCAGGTAAAAGACAAGCATCAATGCAAACTTATGAATCGTGTATGAGAAAACAAAATGAGTTATCTTTACTATATGAATACATTTTTTCTCGAGTGAAATGAATTTTCAGTGGTCATTTTGAAGTCAACTATAAAGTGCTGTAACTGGTCTTGCAGACAAACCGGAGCCTACGCCCAGATCCTGGTGCGCGTCGTAGCGAATGATTTCGTGCAGTTCATGGTAGTCTTTCTCGTATTTCTGGTGGTGTTTAGTGGTACCCTTCTCCTCGCACTCAGAGGCAATTCGCAGACTGCTGACATCGCCGAAACAAGGTAAGCGACTTTAATATGGTTTTCTAGTCCACATTGCCATATGTATTTATATACGAATATCGCTGATCAATAACGAAACTGTATTTTAAACTGCATCCATATCTAACTGTTTCCAAGTAAATACTCACTATGTTTAACGGAATGAAACATATTAGTTTTTAAAATGTTTCACTAGGGATCATTGGTGAGATTTAAAGATAATAATATTAATCTTTTTACCCTGTTATATTTCAAACAAGAAAAACAGAGAGCTAATTGTTATCACATTTTGTTGCAGTTCTTTTTGGGCCATCTTGTTTCTTGGTCTCCGGATATTGATAGAATCCGAGAAGATAATAGAATATACATCCATTGAGTGAGTGTTCACAGGTTTCTTGTATTCTTCGTCGGGTACACCTGAGCTAGAGTAGCTGAGCTCTACACCAAGAAATGTTATCTAGTCGTGTTAAATAGAGCTCTACACCAAGAAATGTTATCTAGTCGGGTACACCTGAGCTAGAGTAGCTGAGCTCTACACCAAGAAATGTTATCTAGTCGTGTTAAATAGAGCGAGAGTAGCTGAGCTCTACACTAAGAGATGTTATCTAGTCGGGTACACTAGAGCGAGAGTAGCTGAGCTCTACACTAAGAGATGTTATCTAGTCGGGTACACTAGAGCGAGAGTAGCTGAGCTCTACACTAAGAGATGTTATCTAGTCGGGTACACTAGAGCGAGAGTAGCTGAGCTCTACACCAAGAAATGTTATCTAGTCGGGTACACTAGAGCTAGAGTAGCTGAGCTCTACACCAAGAAATGTTATCTAGTCGGGTACACCTGAGCTAGAGTAGCTGAGCTCTACACCAAGAAATGTTATCTAGTCGGGTACACTAGAGCGAGAGTAGCTGAGCTCTACACCAAGAAATGTTATCTAGTCGGGTACACTAGAGCTAGAGTAGCTGAGCTCTACACCAAGAAATGTTATCTAGTACACTGAGCTCTACTACCTAAGAGATGTTAGCTCTCCAAGAGATGTCGTCGGGTACACTAGAGCTCTACACCAAGAAATGTTATCTAGTCGGGTACACTAGAGCGATAGTAGCTGAGCTCTACCCTAAGAGATGTTCGTCGGGTACACTAGAACGAGAGTAGCTGAGCTCTACACTAAGAGATGTTCGTCGGGTACACCTGAGCTAGAGTAGCTGAGCTCTACACCAAGAAATGTTATCTAGTCGTGTACACTAGAGCGAGAGTAGCTGAGCTCTTCACCAAGAAATATTATCTAGTCGGGATTAATCAATTGAAATTCTTTAGTTGAAATTGAATGGGAGGGCATACGTTTGGCACTATTCTGCCTCCAGTTCAATAATATGTGTTTGTATCAATTTATTTTCAATGATTCATTCTGCAGCTAAGAATTTTCTGAAAAACATAGAGCATAGAAATATTAATTGTTTGCTTGTCACATTTTAATCTTGAAAATGTAATCCTACATATATACGAAGTATGTGAAAAAGAACATAACCATAATGAAATTAAACTAAACCCCTTCAATCAAATTGACACAGATCATTTATTTTCTCTATGTATATATTTCAGTGCTTGGAGCTGTATTGTCGTGGTCCTGTTCCTGTTCTGCTGTATCGTGCTACTGTTAAACCTACTGATCGCTCAGTTAAGTGATACCTACCAACATATACAAAATGACGCTCAAAGAGGCCTGGAGGTCAACAGAGCCTGGATCGTGGCTAGGATAGAGCTCAGGAGTATGATCTTTCAGCAGGTAACTGGTTTGTCAGCGATACGTGGTAGCAGGGGTCATAATATACCCCACAAATTGGAGATCTCGATTTTTTTCTCCCTGTCAGTCCCGGGTTTACAGTGTCTGTTATTTTCGTTGGTTGATGAGGAGATCAACTCCAGAAGTCCGATGACATTTAATGAAACATGAAAACATTCTTAATCGGAGGGGTCCTTGTGGGTGATGTTGATGACATTTATATCCTTTGTACATGGCAAAGACTACGGAAGATAATTTAAATAATAAACGTCTTAGTTAAATGGTTCCATGCACAAAATTGTTAGAAGTTAATATCACCTTTCAGTACTAACATGGAAGGATGTAAGCATCTCCAAGCAATAAATTCCGACTTATCAGACAGTTTACTGAGCAGGTGGTCCTCAAGAAAATAGGATGTACAAGAGTACGTTCATCCTGACCTTTTCGTATGAGATTTCACTGGAAATCACACTACATCAAAAATTGTCAAACTTGTAAAGTTTAAACACTCACACTCCAGTTTGTTACTGTATTTGCTTTCTACATAGATATAATGATTACTATCTAGAAACAATTATTCATATTAACATTTGACTTTCAGGGATTCCGGTTGAAATATTACAAAAATAAAAAAGAAGTAAAGGATATCAACAAAGTGCTGGAGAAATGGGAGTCACCTCCCCTACAGGAAATGAACAAGAATGTACAAGGCATAGAAGAATGTGTTGGCGCTCATAAACTCAACTTGCTGTCAGTGACTGCTCGACTTGCGAGACAAGAACGCACACTCATCAGAATGCAGTATGAATCAGTTGTTTTAGTAGCAGTAGTATAGGGTGAAGTAGCAGTAGTGTAGGGTGAAGTAGCAGTAGTGTAGGGTGAAGTAGCAGTAGTGTAGGGTGAAGTAGCAGTAGTGTAGGACTATTAATCATAAGTCGAGAGTAAAATATCATAAGCGTATGGTAATGCATCAGTAGTGTAAATAAAGTATTAGTTTTATAGGGTAAAGTATAAGTATTGCAAGGTAAAATATCAGTAGGTTAGGATAAAGCATTTAGAGTGTAAAGTAGGGTAATGCATCAATAATGTTGAGTAATGTATCAGTAGTGTTAAGTGTTAGTAGTGTAAGGTTAAATATCATCAGTACAGGGTAAAGTATTAGCAGTATAGGGAAAGTATTAGCAGTATAGGGTAAAGTATCATCAGTACAGGGTAAAGTATTAGCAGTATAGGGGAAAGTATTAGCAGTATAGGGAAAGTATTAGCAGTATAGGGTAAAGTATTAGCAGTATAGGGAAAGTATTAGCAGTATAGGGTAAAGTATTAGCAGTATAGGGGAAAGTATTAGCAGTATAGGGAAAGTATTAGCAGTATAGGGAAAGTATTAGCAGTATAGGGAAAGTATTAGCAGTACAGGGTAAAGTATTAGCAGTACAGGGTAAAGTATTAGCAGTATAGGGAAAGTATTAGCAGTATAGGGAAAGTATTAGCAGTATAGGGAAAGTATTAGCAGTACAGGGTAAAGTATCATCAGTACAGGGTAAAGTATTAGCAGTATAGGGGAAAGTATTAGCAGTATTGGGAGAGTATTAGCAGTACAGGGTAAAGTATTAGCAGTATAGGGTAAAGTATTAGCAGTATAGGGAAAGTATTAGCATTATAGGGAAAGTATTAGCAGTATAGGGTAAAGTATTAGCAGTATAGGGTAAAGTATTAGCAGTATAGGGAAAGTATTAGCATTATAGGGAAAGTATTAGCAGTATAGGGAGAGTATTAGCAGTATAGGGTAAAGTATTAGCAGTATAGGGAAAGTATTAGCAGTATATGGTAAAGTATTAGCAGTATAGGGGAAAGTATTAGCAGTATTGGGAGAGTATTAGCATTATAGGGAAAGTATTAGCAGTATAGGGAGAGTATTAGCAGTATAGGGAAAGTATTAGCAGTATAGGGTAAAGTATTAGCAGTATAGGGGAAAGTATTAGCAGTATAGGGTAAAGTATTAGCAGTATAGGGAAAGTATTAGCAGTATAGGGTAAAGTATTAGCAGTATAGGGGAAAGTATTAGCAGTATTGGGAGAGTATTAGCAGTACAGGGTAAAGTATTAGCAGTATAGGGAAAGTATTAGCAGTAAAGGGTAAAGTATTAGCAGTATAGGGAAAGCATTAGCAGTATAGGGAGAGTATTAGCAGTATAGGGAAAGTATCATCAGTACAGGGTAAAGTATTAGCAGTATAGGGTAAAGTATTAGCAGTATAGGGAAAGTATTAGCATTATAGGGAAAGTATTAGCAGTATAGGGAGAGTATTAGCAGTATAGGGAAAGTATTAGCAGTATAGGATAAAGTATTAGCAGTATAGGGTAAAGTATTAGCAGTATAGGGGAAAGTATTAGCAGTATAGGGTAAAGTATTAGCAGTATAGGGTAAAGTATTAGCAGTATAGGGAAAGCATTAGCAGTATAGGGAAGGAAAGTATTAGCAGTATAGGGTAAAGTATAAGCAGTATAGGGAAAGTATTAGCAGTACAGTGTAAAGTATCAGTAGTGTAGGTTAAATTATCTTTAGCTTAGGGTAAATTATTAATAGTAGGTAATAATCAGTAATTTAATAAGCATTTTTGGTCCACGAGTTTTGAATATTTACAAATTATTGGAGAAATTGACGTTACCTCTGTTTCTAAATATGCATTGTATTTAAAAGGGATTTTTTTTCTTTTGATTGCAGGGAAACACTTGATGTTCTATCGAAACGATTTGTTCCTGAATGGAAGAACAATAATCTAATCAACAGCGCACGTGCCGCTGATGATGTCATTACTGATGACGCAATTAGAGACAATAATGACGTACAGGTTGACATCATGCCACCAGAGAATGGAGACCGCTTTCCAATAGACAATGGTAGAAGGAACTCAGAAATAGGAGAGCATACTACAGTGACATTTTCTGTAGCATCCGACCCAGTATCTGTTTAGGACGTCAGTTTATCAATTAGGGAGGCAATGTCCTCGTTAAATGTGAGAACTTATTACATATTTAACCAAAGAAATCGATGCTTCGCTTTATCAATGGATTTAAACAAATTAATTTCGCGATGGTATACTTCCGGAACAAAAGTATGACGGGCTTCGGAAGAAGTGTGAGAAGTTTTTACGTTTTAAGAATAATTGCTCTTGTGTGTTAGTTTTCCTTGTGAATGTCAAGACCATATCAGGATCTACCATTCACAGAGTCTTCATGTCTTGTCATGTTGTATTTATATCCAAAATGATAATCTAAAGCCTCTCCAGACTTGCACACTATTTCGCACTCATTGCAATTGATTGTTTTTTGGTTGTTTTTTTTTTTTTCTGTTTGGGTTTTTCTTCAGTTTTTAAAGATATTACATAATATTTATAAATATAAACAAAGAGAAACCTTTCACATATGCTTACTTTCGAAGCACTATAAATATTTATCATCATCATCAACATCATCATCATAATCATCATCATCACCATCATCAACATCATCATCATCAACATCAACATCATCATCATCATCACTATGTAGTCATTATCATTTAATTCATCATCATTTATTATCACGATCTCACAACACAAAACAAGAATGTCATCTTAAGCTAAAAAACATACTGACTCTAGTCAACACTCAGTAACATTCAGGGAGTTGCTAAGGCATCTAGTTTTATATACAAAATGTTTGATAATGACTAAATTTTCATAATCGACAGAAATGCAAATAAGGAGAAACAATCCTTAAAAGAAAGGAATCATTCTTGTTTTCAAATGGTATTGAAAGTAAATCCAATTAAGTTTCAAACCTCTGGAGAAGTATTTGTACTTTTTTGCAGCCCCATGGTCTTATTTTGCCGCTAACATAAGATTAGGATTTAAATTTAATTTATGGAGAAACTGTTTGTCACCAAGATATGGTGAGTGACTCTAACTTTAAACCATGATAACTTTGAGCCTTTACTTCAAAAATCTCTATATAAAGTGGTAGAAACAGCTGTGAAAGCCTCTCTGTCTGAAACTGAAGATTTCTTAAGTGATGTTTACTAATCTATGACATTGCAGAAAGTTGGCAATAGTATTAAAGGTTTGAAAAAAACTCATCAAAGGAAAGAAGGGTGAAATTGTCAGCATTTTTAAACATATCATTCAATGTAAAATCACCTGCTTCAAACCAATAAGGACTGAAAACAAGTTATTGTAAATTGGGATATCTTGGTTTTACCAAAGAGGAGTTTTTTATAATACTTTCTTGTCTGCCAAGCCTCATTACTTTAGAATTGTTGAGTTGATCCTATGTCTTAAAGACATCCTTCAAAAATAAACTGCGGCATTTGGAAACACACAAATGTATATAGACTGTCCACAGTTGTACAACTTTTTAAGATATATAATTGATTTACAGATCAAATTCCATTTGTTAGAGGACCGAAGTAGTCTTCTTATCCAGCCAAGCTTTAAGGAATGGTTGAAAACATATAAGTCAATTAAGTCCACCTTCTACATAATCTTGGATAATAATATCTTATTACTCTTACGGCGATTACCACAGAAAATCCAATCATACAGAATTTAACTGAGTGATATATTTCACAATAATATATCAAAGTCTGTGTGGATGTTTGGTATGTGAAGAAATGAATTGCTTAATCAATTTCATGTCTAAAAAATAGCAATATTGTCAAAATTCTAAATGCGCAGTATTAATCCGTAAAATCAACGACATTTAAGAGCCATACTCCGGCAAGTTCTATTTTGATTAAAGAGCTCAGGAGTCTTTTTCTCACTAGATATCAAAGTCAGTGGTACTTCAGACACACTCATTCAATTAGAAATGATAAAGGTGTTTCTTAATACAATCTGATTTTTAAATGTATATATCTAATGAAATGTTTGAATGCTTGCACAATTGTATGCTCGTGCTTATTGATGTAATTAACTATGAACTTACATGTGAAATTAAAAAGATGCATGCAATATCAAATTGAATCAACATAATTGTTAAGTTAGACTTGTAATTTTAAAGCTTCTCTACAACTCAGTCTCAGTAATATTAGAAACACACGCCAAAATAATTTTGAAAATCTTACTACATGTATTTTCCCCCATACGTTATTTTTTTTTAAATGCACGTAATGTTGATATAATGTGTCCCTGTGAGATTTAACACAACAATATTTCTTTTTAATATAAACTTTATTTCAGTCATTGACATATACATCACGACTATATATAAGAACAATCACATCTGAACTGGATTCGGAGACAAGTTTTTCAACTTTATAAATGTGTCTCCTTTTCTGAGGCATATTAATAAATGTCACACGACAAAAAGCAGAAAATTGGAGTCGCACACTTTGCATCACGTACTAGTAGATGTGGAAATCATTGGAAAGAGAAGTAAATAAGGAGAGAAAGTGAAAGTTCGATACTGGAGAAATAAGAGAGGAAAATTGCCTGTTCATGTATATATATATGTCAGGACTGTAACAACTGTGTATTGGACCAAAACGGAATAATCCAGATTCCTTTGAGCTATTAATGAAGTTTTGGACACATGGAAAAATTCAACGAGTTTTCATCATCCGTAATCCCGTTATCACCGAAGAGTAGTATTTCGGTTGAAGTATGAGAGTCAAAGTAAAACAAAAACAAAAAAGGCTAGCGAATCTCACAAAAGAGTCGGCAATGCCATAAAAGGATTACAAGAGCAACGTGGACAATTAATAAGGCAAAAATCTTGATTGGTGTGGAGATAGTAAAGAGTGCGTGTGGAAAAAAAAGAGAGAATTGTACCTAACCGTCAGTTTTCCAACAATAGATAATAAAGACATAGGCCTGTAGTTAGTTGATATAGATTATTTTTTCTTTTTTGTGCAGAGGAGTTACATAAGTAGCCTATCAATTTCTTGGAAAAAATACCAGATGCTAGAGATTGGCTGGAGCTTAGGAGGCTACTATATCAACAACTTCTTTAAGTAATCGAGGATTCACAAGATCGGGGCCCATAGCTTTAGAACAGTCAAGCTTTAGTATAGCATCATTAACATCAGTAGTAGTTACAATGATATGAGGACGAATATAGTTACCTTTCGTCATCAATGTTTGGAAGGACAGCGTTAGATTCATCATTAGATGACTGAGAATGTTTCTGAGGAAATGCGATAATTTGGCACTAGAAAATAAGTTATTCTTTTTTAAAGTACGTTGTCTGCAAAATCAGGCTTAAATATACAACTTTTAAAAACTTTAAGACTTATTTCCACAGGACATTTGAAGTCGAGAGCGGATATTACATTGTGCTACCACTACATTGTATATGATAAAGTGATTTTTTTAAATCTGATTTGTTCCCTCCGAATACTGAACACATTCTGTTTTTGTATTTTTTTCGCCAAAAAATGAGAGAAAAACAGTGCTGAAATAGAATATAACGAGAGTAAATTGATAATTACCACTAAATAAAGACACGCTTATCATTTTTAAGCAAAAACTCTTAAGAATGTATGGAAACTTAGCAGACCGTAACGGACTTAGCACGTCCGAATTCTTAAAAGCGATTGGGAAGATAGAAATCAAAAGAATACTACTTTCGGGAACTTTGTTCATGCCACAACCCAGGCGTGCTAGGAAAATCATCATCGGCTTCGATTACAAGACCTGAAATCCTACTTTTAATTTAATTTTAATGGGGTTTACGACCACTATTACGACCTTTCGGTCTTTCATCTGACGAGTATTGAAATCCTGCTTTTGAAACATTGCCAGAACTTTGTTATTTAAGGTACGGAGGTCAAATGGAGGTTTTTCACCAAATACTGGCTCTCCTTACATTTTCGTGAGTATTTCGCTGTTGACAATAATTTTCCACACAGTCAGTGGTGTCCTACCTTTTATACAAGTATTCTTAAATATTTTCAAACATACAGAAAAGACTTTCCAAAGTCTAACTTTGAGTCTGTTAGTACCAAAGAATTTTATGTTATCATATTATCTGGTTTCATTAAGCCACCCAGAATTGTAAAGTTTTTCCCAACTGTCAATTTCAATTGTGTTTTCCTCAATATTTTAAACAAGTTTTAGATACTTGCTCACGTGATGCTGTTTTTAAAATAGTTCTTGAAATATAACCTGTGAATTTTCAATTGTATAAATTTAGCGTTGTATCCTCCAAACATTGTACTTTTTGCGATAAATTTGAGACCATTCCTCACTTATTTTTTAATGTCCTTTCATTCAGACGTTGGTATCTCTAGTAAATTCCTGGATACACCAGATTTCAAACAACAAGATCCCTACTGATTCAGCACTTTGGCGTTTTCATTCTCCAGTAAGCCTCACTCTAAAAGTAAAGTCTCTCGTCCTGTTTCTAATGGCAGAAGCCTAATCGTCTATTTGACATATCCGTTGTAAGTATGACAAAAAGTCTCCTACTTCTGATTCCCTGGTCTGCCATTTCCTTAATAATGTTATTCTGCTTATTAAGACTGATTTTTCTTCCCTAGAACCATATTCTCTGATTACTGGTGTACTACTGACATGTTTTGCACTGTACGTGAGGATGAACTTACAGTAAATCTTCCATTGTGATCATTACGCCATATTAAATCTCATTTTGTTTGTATAGTTAATTTAACTTTTTATAGATACTCTGGTTAATCAGTAAACATCTACCTTGTCCATCCTACATTGTAGGGATAATTGAGCCTTACCGGGGCTACCGGTTTTGTACATCAGTTTCTGACGTCATAGGAGTTTGTCCTATGTCGTTTTTACCTGTATATTTGTAAACAAAATTTTATTAAACTTAAATAAAGATATGTCTAAGTTTGACGACATATTTAAATGAGTTATTTAGATATGCGAATTGGAAGTTTACCCCCAACTTTTTCCGGTCTACGCTTCATCAGAAACTAGGTATAAAAAAAAGTAATGAATAAGGACTGGAAAGGTTTCTGTGTTTGAGATCTGGGTGATTGTTACTGGGTGGGTGGGTGGTGGTTAATTTGTGTGTATCTGAATAGGATCATGTGTTATTTTTCAATATTGTTTCACGCGAGAACCGTTAGAATATGAAACAAATAGAATTATGGATTATTTGAGACGTAAAATGTAAAGTTAACATAGAGGGTCCCAAATCTCTAAAACTTTTGTGTATGGTGTTTACGTTATTTCAACAAAATTGAGAAACCGTGCCAGCTCTCTTGTTTACAACCTCTTTACAGTAGATCTAAGTAATACAGCTGACTGTAATAGATGTGGTAACACGTGTGTAGAATTTTACGACATTTTTTGTATCCTGTGCCTAATACACTCAGAACCAATATCTATCAATAGGACCGTTACAACCATTCAGTGAGAATTTCACGTTAGGTTTACTTATATCCCGCGATCCGAAATTTAACAAAAATGAAAATGTCTTAGATTCCATATCAGCTCAAAATTACATCAGCCAAAACGAAGAAAAGTACTGCGGTAAGTGTTGTGAATACTTGTGTCTAATTATTTTGTAAGTATCTTTTTTCGATAAAATATGTTAAAATCAAACGAATGTTTTAAACCGTTGTAACGTTTGTTCGAAACTAAATCTATATTGACTTTCTTCCACCGTTCGAGAAAATCTACGTTGTTAGCCAAAAATAAATACTGTTAGGATCACCAATTTCTCGAGGTTCTATTAAATATATCTATATAAACCAATGTGAATGACATATTCATGACATTTTTACTAAGTGTCCCTAGACCATACCATATATCGACAGAGTGCATTTTACGATAACTTATTATAAAAACAATAAACCGGTTAAAAGAGCATGTTTTAACTATGTATACAGATTAACAACACGAACAGAATATAACGGAAGTAACTTGATAAATGCTACAGAACAAAGACATGGTTATCATTTAAAGCAAAATCTCATCCGAATTCTTAAAAACGATTGGGAATATAGAAATAAACAGAACATTATTTTCGGGAGCTTTGTTCATATGACAACCAGGCTTGCCAGGAAAATCACACTTGTCTTCGTCTATAAGTGTTCAACCCCTGTTTTTGTATTCTATATATATATACAACAGGCAAAAGATATAGACGCGGTGTTTCAAACCATTCATTTCAAAACACACTACTTTTAGAATACCAACGAAATCAGACAGCAAAGTCATGTCGAATATTACATTGGTAAATTGGAATGATAAAATTCTGTTTCCACACTCGTTAAACTTATTGTTTTAACTTAGTTTTAGATGATATCAATTTGTATCACGCGATAGGTAACGTACATTGGACGTATGTAAAACAAATCCGCTACACCAGGGCCTATTAGCTTCAAAATCTCATATTTCAATGCTTTTTTTCTTTCATGTTTTGGCGAAAATATTGCTACGTTGTTGGCTATTTTAAAAATGAATTCCTTTCGATAAGTTGCTTTTATAAGATGCATTGAACTTTAAGTGAAACAGCTCCATGTATGTTAATGACACTACACCTACATACACGATTCCCTGAGACCAATATGAGAAAAACACTTCAGGTAAGACGTTGGGCGAATCTTTGTCACGAAAGAGTACATTTAAAACGTCAATATGTCCAAATTTGACAACATATTTAAATGAATTATTTAGATATGCAAATTGGAAGTTTACCTCAACTTTTTCCGGTCTGCGCTTCATCAGAAACTACGTATTTAAAGGTAATTAACAAAGACTATAAAAGTTAGTTTTTAAATTTCCGGGTGATTGGAACATAAATAATTGCAGATTTACTCATTACCTTTTCATTTTCTATTTAACATTTTTTCTCTTTATCATTGAAACACAGCAAACTGACAAATGAACTTGTTTATATTTCATTCAATAATATGTGGCCAGCCAGCACAAATTATTAAACACATGATCAGCTTTTGTAACGATTGTTCATGTAACAACCCTGGCTTGCCAGGAAAATCACACTTGGCATCGTTTTGAAGACGTGTTCAAATCCTGCTTCTGTATTCTATATATACAACAGGAAAAAATCATTGACGCGGTGTTTCAAACCATTCATTTCAAAATACGCCACTTTAAGAATACTAACAGAATCAGACAGCAAAGTAATGTTGGGTATTACATTTTGTAAATTGTGACAATCAAATTCGGTTTCCACACTCGTTCAACTAATTGTTTTTAACTATGTTTAGATGATATCATTGTGTATCATGAGAAAGGTAACGTGTATTGAACGTATGTAAAACAGATTCACTACACCAGAACCCATTAGCTTCAAAATCTCCCCATATTTCAGCTTTATTTTTCTTTTTCTTTTTTTGCGAAAATATTGCTTCGTAGCTGGTTATTTTTAATGTGAATTACCTTTCGATAGGTTGCTTTTACAGGTCGCATTGAATTTTAAGTGAATCAGCACCGTGTATGTTAATGACGATTTCATGAGAACAATATGAGAAAAATACTTAAGTGGGGACGGTAGGCGAGAGTCTGTCACAAAAGGGGACGTTTAAAACGTCACTATGTCCAACTTGTACAACATATTTAAATGAGTTATTTGAATATGCAGATTGGATTTTACTCTTTATTTCCGGTTTTCGCTTGATCAAAGACTACATATTATAAAAAAGTAATACACAAGGACTAGAAAGGTTAGTTTTTAATTTGCGAGTGAAAAGAACAGTAGATGTATGTATTACCTTTTCTTTTTCTATCAACCTTTTTTAAAAATTATTATTGAATCGTAGTAAAATGTTAAAATGAACTTTTTTATATTTCATTTAATTACACGTACGTGACCAGCTAGTAACAAATAATTAAACCCAGGATGAGCTTTTGTAACGATTATACAAAATTCATGGAAAATGTGAACACACACTGAAAGCGTCATTTTTATGCTGAAATATCGGTTATCTGAAAGAAAAATCACACAAGGAATATACACTCCGTTTCCCCAATAAGACATCCTACTTTGTAAGGTTTACTATTTGGGGTGTGTGTAGGACGTGGGTCACAGGTTTTGATAATATCAGGGACGTACCTGATAATATTCAACTTTGATTTTTACCCGATATTTCTTGTCTACTCTTCATCAGAAACTACGCCATCCATTATTGAAAATCATTATTAAATTCGCTAGAAAAAAAATAAAATCAGTGTAGCTCATATACATACAAATTTAACAAATGGCTTGGCATCTTCTTTTTCTTCAATTACACAGAAATGCCATCAAAATGATAAATCAATTTGTGGTGACTGTGTAAATACGTGATGGTTATTTATAGAGATAGGATTTTAAAAAATTATTTTCAGATAAAAAAAAAAGGCAAACACATTTGTTTCTAGGGAGCTTGTTTGAGGTCTTCTATGGTTATGTTGTGAGTGTGTGACTTGAAGACCTCTAGGGTAGTGATTTGTACTGCTGTCACCGGTAATGAGTTTTACTGTATCATTGTGTGTGGGAGGTGACAGAAATTGTCTGGTCCTTGGGTCTGTGCGATGTGTGAAATGGTTATCGGATCCATTGAGACATGATGGTGTATAATTTTGTAAAACAATATTTAAATACTCTCTTGATATTTCCGGAAATTAAAATCAAGCATGAAGAAGGCATAATATGGATGTGAGACTCCTGACCGACTAAGTTTGCAAAAATAATTAAACTTGTGCAGAGTTATTTCCCATATTGTTTGATAATATAGGTGGCGCTCGTTACTTATCGATCAGCTGCAGCAGATGACGAAAGTAGACAAGGCCGGTGTTTCGGGTGATGTTAGAAAAACAGACTATCTCAGGTCATGGCAGGCAAATCTTCCAATGACAACGTTTCCCAGAGGTGAGTTGCATTTTCAACTTTCTTAGTATTGAAGATTATCAACTGACAAGAGTCTGTAATCTTGTAACCCCGAGATTGTGGTCTCGAACTAGGAACAGTTGAAATACTTCTCTTCTGACTTCTGTTTATTGTCACGATTCAGGCGTTGAAACTGTTTTTCTTATTTCTAAAGATAATTGTAAGTAAGATGAAGTATCATAGTCATGAAAACAACTGTATTATGTTACATGCATTCTGTACCCTGTGCACTTGTGAATCTGTAAAAAACATACCTCCCCTCAGTTTCCGATCTCGAGATGAAGCGTTTTTAAGTATATTGAGACATACAAACGTTTCTTTCTCGATACACTACACACCTATAAGGGTAAGTTTAATAAGCACTGGCGACATCAATTTGATAAATATACAACGCCGACGTCAAAAGTAAACAAAATGATATACTTCAAATAATATTACATAATTTTACAATGAGTCAGACCAGGAATCGAACGTTCAGTACGAGAAATAATAACAAGAATCATATATGGAAAAAAAACTACCAGGAATGCTACGGTGTTGGAACAGGTCAGGCACTTTCTTGTCTGTTCTTCACTACATAAACATTGCATTTCTGTTAAAAAATATCAAACTTGTACAAGAAACTTTGTCCTTCATTGACAACATGAAAAATAGTTATGACAATTTGTTGTACTGGCCAATACGTATCCAGACCTTGTATTAAAGTTTGCATGTGCAGCAGTTTTTCATAGCTCGCCATCATGTAACGTCACACACTTTACATGTTCCTGGTCAGATCTGAACCATTACTGTAGGAAGTTCCCACATACATTGTACATTATGTCATGTAGCCTACTTAATTACTGTGAAAAGTGATGTGTACCATTTTTCACCAAGCATTGCAAATAGACACAATTTGTTGGTGAGTTCAAAATGATTCTGCACAGATTTTCAACACAGCAAATATTTTGTTTCAAAAAAATTTCTGGAAAAAGTTAACAAATATTTCCCAGGGCATTGGCAAGAGTCGGTACTTGTTTAGAATATGTGAATGACCTGTACAACATCAGCAGCTGCTCTTCGTCGGTGATTGGTTAAGATTTTATTCACATTTTGGATGGCATGGTTGTATTTTTCCTTCCGCCTTTCACCTAGACATCTGTGGTTCAGTTTTCCAAACTGAGGTGAACTCTATCACCACGTGGCTTTACCCCAGATACTCTGGGTTTCTCCCAGTCAGACCTCTCTTGGCCAAAAAGAATGATTAAAAGCTGTAATCTTGTTTTGCTATTGTAAAATAATTTATATTTCTAGGTAGGAGGAGTTCAACTATTAATATTAGTACTGGTGACATCAATATTGATGATTATGAGTGCAGGGTGGTTGGATGGGGCACTTATCTTTCACCTAGCTGTCCGGGGTTTGATTCCTGTGATGTATGTGAGAAGCTACGGGATTACCTGCCCAACCATGTGGGCTTTCCCCAGGTACTCTGGTTTCCTCCCACAGTAAGATCCCTCACACACTTCCATCCTGACGAAGAAGCGTGATTAATATAAGTTTGAAAAACTTGTTTTGCAATTGTTGTAAAATAAATAAAGTTTTTTATTTAGATTAAATGTACTGGTTGTTGTACATGTAACAGATCTATGGATGATCACCAAGTCAAAACCATCTTAGCCATTTTCTCAAATATATTTTAAGGCATGGTATACATCAGTACTAGTACTCTGCTTTCACACTGGTCATTTATCTGATAATGGTGGCAGTGTAACCATCAAAACATCACACTCTAATCCACTACTGGTTGTGTTGTAAAAACTTCCACCCTATTGACAATACCAATCTGAAGAAAATGTTCCAAAGTATTTACTGTATTTTTAAGTGAAAAATACATGTTTGGCATGATTGACTGAGATATGACAGTTATGAACAAATTTGACCATCCCATGATATTTATTGATTTGTAAATGTGACATCTGACTTAATATGTGACACATAATAATATCTTAGAATATTACTAGACACAGTCTCGTTCATCGTTGAAATGTATTCCATTTAAGGTCCTTTCAACCCAACGATTATGGTATAGTCAGATTTACTTTAATTTTCCTTATTACCCAAGGACCTGCTGTTACCTTTAAAAAAAATGAGAGAGAAAAAAAATGTGAATTTTGAGGTTCAAACTAGTGCTTAAATCATCCTGGCAACACCTCACCTACATTGAATCATTTCTGTATGTAAAACCAATGAAAATAATTACAAAAGAAGATTTATATCGTTATATACATATTGACATAAGATAAAAATTGTCAGAATGATTAGAATACTCTGAGACATAAAGTTGGCATTCTAAGAAAAGCTGCAGCACATGTATTTGTATCGTAAAATGTGAGAAAACATATTCAATGAGTTTGTATATGTATCTGGCCACTGTGACCTGCTATTGATTATAAGTATCACAGTGTGCATTGTATGTATAATGTAAGTATAATCTTCAGGCTGGTATTTGGCAGCTGTACATGTATAGATCAGTTTGTCAATATAGTTATTCTGATGAAATTGTATCTATTATGTAAGTAATCATGATGATTGCCTACCACTGTCTTTACAATGATCTTGCAGTGTTAAAATTAGCTTTGTTATTAGAAAATTACTTGTTGAAAAGAATTCTGATTGTGATGAAGGGTCGGGCATGCATTGATTACTGTAAGGAAAGGGATTGAAGATTATGACAACTACACATCTCCCACACCAGTATCATTTGCTTTATAACACACATCGAAAAACTGTATCCATGCTTAGTCACGGTTGTTCTGTCAAGAGAAGGCAAATCATATATATGTGAAAACGGCAGATTTTGAAAAAAATTGGAAGGTGAAGGGCTTCCATACCGGAAAATGGAAATACTGTCAAAAGTTCTTATCTCAAAACTCATATTCCTACATTTTAAAAGCCACAAAGACATTAAGTAGAATTTGCTCATGCCAGACCCTCTATCAGACTCTGGAAGAGGGTTGAACTTACTGTAGTTTATAGGAAATTGACGTGTCACTCTGGAAAAGGGTTGAACTTAGTGTAGTTATAGGAAATTGATGTGTCTTACTTCAAATTCAGCTGCTGCTTTGTCAGATAATGTTGGATCAGTTTTGCTACTCTGAAGGTATAATGGAATGATATATTTAAGTTTGATACAGGAAGATGATACCCTGTTTGTGGTAAATAAAAATCATTTTTATGCATTATTTTACTACAGATGTCTTTTGCTGCAAGGTCACGGTCATTGGCGAAGGTCAGAAAGATTAAATATATGAAGTGATATTACTGTAGTGACTCTCCAAACATCAGGAGTACCTCTTATGACTTCGATATGTCAGTGTGACAGCTCGTTCCCGTATATATTTAATGTTTATAACCATATCATTGTACTTAGTGAATGTTCCATGACCTCCTACAACTTTTCTTATGTATTGATGATAATTCAAACTATCCAATATTGTTTTTTCTTTGGAAAAGCTCAGTTTGTGCTCTTATTGATTATACAAAAAAAAAAATTTTGTTCTCACTACTTTTGGAATGTTGGTCTTGGCTTTGAATTTGGTTTTAAAAAAAGTGGAACAAAATTTTAAATTCAGGAGAGAAAAAAATACTCACACACACACAAGCTTACTGTAAAATAAGTATACAGTGGGCATTACCATCCAGACTTCCTGACAATTGTACAGTGCAATTTTAGGGAAATTTTGATACTTGGATCGGGAAATATATCAAAGTTGGAATGGGCCCTCATTTAGCTCAAATCCTGTCTAAAATACCCTAGCTGGTATACTTGTGGCTGTACAATGACATTCTAAAGCATCATTCTCTATCAGTGCAATCCTATGATAAATACAACACCATGTTCTGTGGTTATAGGATCAGCATTTGAATTCATATGAATATTTCATACCTGACATTAGGTAGTCATGGTATATTATCAGACTTGTATTCATCTGATTCTTAGGTAACTCAGCTGGGATGTCAATTTCCTGTCACCTTTATTTGACAATATATCAACTGAATTTTACAGACAATACACTGCCGTGTTTAGTTTATATGATCTATGTATTAACAATGCTAATGGTACAATGATAACCTTGCGCAGCTCCTATATCATTGATCTTATGGCATACTATGGCGTCTGTCATCCGTCTGTCTATCCATCCGTCCATTAACTCTTTTCCTAGAAATCACTTCTAGCCATAAATGACTTACAGGTCTTGGACCAAATTTGCTAATAAGCTTCCTTGGTGGAAGAGGAACAATTTTGGTATAAATGATGAGTCCCTACTTCAAAGGTCATGAGGGGCGAGGCCCAAAATGGGAAAAAGGAAAATTCTACTCTTCCTATAGGAATCATTCGATTTTCCCCAAATTTTGTCTGAAGCATTCTTAAGTGAAGGGGAATTAATGTTGTTAAAATTGTGGGTTTTGGCCTCATGTGGTAGGAAGGGCAGGGCACAATAGGGGAAACAGAGCAAATTCATTAAAATCACATTCCTCCAGTAGGAATGTTTGGATTTCCCCAAAATTAGGTCTGAATCATTCTTAGAATAAGGAGAAATGGTTTGTCTTGAACTTCTGGGCCAGTTGGGACAGGGCCAAATAGGGGAAATAGAGCTAATTGTTTATATCCTTCTTATGCAGGAATCATTTGATTTTGCCCAAATTTGGTCCAAGCATTATTGTGAGAAGGGGAATCAACTGCTTATAAACAGTGGGTCTTGGCCTCCTGGAATAGAAGGGGTGGAGCTCAATAGGGGAAATCGAGCAAATTCTTGAAAATCTAACTCCTCTTGTAGGAATGAATGGATTTTGCCCAAATTTGGTCGGAAGCATTGTGTGTTAAAGAGAAATCAGTTTTGTATAAACGATGGTTCTCGGCATCATTGAATAGGAGGGCGGAGCCCAATAGAGGAAATAGAGCAAATTCTTTAAAATTCTACTCCTCCTGTATTGATGATTGGTTTATACCAAATTTATCATTTTTAAGCATTCTTTGCTGAAGATGAACCAATTTCGCCAGGTGAAGGATGCAGGCTGTATGGGCCTCTTGCTTTCATTTTTTGATGGAAATAAGCCTGATCTTTAGTCAGTTATAAAGTATTTACAAGTTGCGAGGAATAGCTAAGGATTTTTGTTATATACATTTAAACCCAGTACCTTGTTATTGCATTATTAAACACTTTGTCTTGTCTTTTGATAATAAAAAAGATCATGAGATAGTGCAAGCTTTTAGATAGGCAGCTCAAATCTAATATTTCCATTGTTTCTGTGGGAAAATTGTAAAAGACTAAGGAGCAGTAAACTGATGAAAGTTAATCCAGTGTGATGAAGCAGTCTGTAGAATAGAGCTACAATGTGAACATATGTAGGATTTGAACTTCTTTCAGTTGGCATTCATGGGCTTAAAATGCCAACTGAGAAAGGTAAATTCCATGAAGCAATATAAACCCTTCAGTCCATGAATATCAAATGAAAGCACTTCAATGCTTATACTAACTGTTTATGTTATCCTATGTCTTTTTACCGCATTGGCACAGTTCCTACACTTCCTTCGTAGTTATGACATGATTACAACAATTTCTATACAATAGCCCTAAAGTTTTACTGCTGTAGTTGGTAAATATATTTTAATGAATAGTAGAATTTAGATAATAAAATAGTATAAAATACATATCAGGGTAACATGTTATCTACATCAAATATGAAAAAAAAAATTTGACTCAATTATTTAAGTCGTATCAGAGTAAAACATTTTTCTTACTAATTTTTTTGGCATTGCATACATATATCAAATGTATCACCTTATGAACGAGGACAGTTGATTCTCACTGAAATATGCACGTAAATGAGGTTGATTTATAATTATGGTCCTTATCTGTTGATCATCAGTCTGTATACGTAAATTTTTTCATTATGTATGATAACGCATGCACGCAAAAAAATGTTGCCTGTAAACAAAAATGGCGGTCCAGTTGGATCGGCTAGCAATTAATATTACCTATTTTGTAATTCTGATTTGCCTTATGGTTCTCAGATAACATGTACTGCACAGATAACAAAATCAGGTGCTAAAAAAACAGATTTTACTGACTTAGTCTACTGTTGCTGTCATTTGTGCCCACATGGAAAAACAATCATTGATTTGGACAAGTAAGTTTATAGTTATACAACTTACTATAACAAATAGTTGATGGAAGGTATGTTTACTCCTATTGTCGCGAAGAAAAAAACCTCATGTGAAATTTACATCAACATCATAAAAGTTTCAAAAACTGTAAATAGCAGTATATGAAAAAATGGGCTTTATATTAGTTGCAGAATTTTAGAGGCAAATTTCTTGTTTTCTTATCCATTCCTGTTTGATGTCTTTCAATTTGTGATGTCAAGAATTTTAGGCACTAGCTATTTGTTTCTATGTGAAACTTTTGAGAAATGTGTAAAATATGCATTGTTAGTATACAAAACAATTTAACAAATGTTTTGGAAAAAACAACCCAAATCAGTTTGAATTATAACTGAAACAATAGATTATATAGTATTAGCTGACATACATTGATCTCTTCTCCCACAGTTTCTGTGGTAGGAAGAATTCTCAGGATTATGAGACCCCACCCCCCCACCCCCCACCCCCCAGGATGAAATTTCTTCAGATCCTGTTGACTAATTTTTATAAAGCTTAGACAATTTTTTCCAGACTTATAATATTGAACACAATATCTTGTTGGTTGGTAGTCTTACATACAAGACATGTATATGGTGTTGATCTGCTGTCTACAGTTCATGTACGTGACAGACAATTTACCAGCTGCTTGTGACATGGTATATCTTAACAGATTTCATCTCTTCAAAGTTTAGTTAGGTTACTGAAATTAACCTAATAGAGAAAATAGTCTGTACTGTGTTAAAAATCATTATTTAGATATATATACACATATGAAATGTTTTAAGACATTTTCTTTTGGTTCAAATTTTTTAAAAATTGAAGATACTTTAAAAGTGTCCTGATTTCTGAGTGGGATATTTCTGTTTGAACTTCCAGCTCAAACTGGCAGAGGCCAACAAGTGTGATCTTATGACTTTGACCCTGAGTGATTTGTGTGAAGTTTCATAAACCAAGTAGCTTTAAATTTTCATCTATTGAAACATGTAGAGATATTTACTATCACACGAAATGTATTAGACACTTTTGAATATATATCTGAAGACATACCTGAGACATAAGACAATTCTACACCTGAGGCACGAGACAATCCTACACCTGAGGCACGAGACAATCCTACTCCAGAGTCATGAGACAATCCTACACCTGAGACATGAGACAATCCTACACCTGAGACATGAGACAATTGTACACCTGAGGCACGACACAATCCTACACCTGAGATATGAGACAGTTGTACACCAGAGACATGAGACAATCCTACACCAGAGATATGACACAATCCTTCACCTGGGACATGAAACAATCCTTCACCTGAGACATGAGACAATCCTACACCAGAGACATGAGACAATCCTACACCTGAGACATGAGACAATCCTACACCTGAGACATGATACAATCCTACACCTGAGACATGATACAATCTTACACCTGAGATATGAGACAGTTGTACACCAGAGACAGGAGACAATCCTACACCTAAGACAGGAGACAATCCTACGCCTGAGACATGAGACAATCCTTCACCAGAGACACGATACAATCCTACACCCGAGACATGAGACAATCTTACAACTGAGGCATGATACAATCCTACACCTGAGACACGATACAATCCTACACCTGAGACATGAGACAATCCTACAACTGAGACAGGAGACAATCCTACACCTGAGACATGACACAATCCTACACCTGAGGCATGACACAATCCTACACCTGAGGCATCATCATTGATACAATCCTACAACTGAGGCATGAGACAATCTCCTACACCTGAGACACGAGACAATCCTACACCTGAGGCACGATACAATCCTACACCTGAGGCACCATACAATCCTACACCTGAGGCATGAGACAATCACCTACACCTGAGACACCAGACAATCCTACAACTGAGACACGAGACAATCCTACACCTAAGACACGAGACAATCCTACACCTGAGACACGAGACAATCCTACACCTGAGGCATGATACAATCCTACAACTGAGGCATGAGACAATCTCCTACACCTGAGACACGAGACAATCCTACACCTGAGGCACGATACAATCCTACACCTGAGGCACCATACAATGCTACACCTGAGGCATGAGACAATCACCTACACCTGAGACACGAGACAATCCTACAACTGAGACACGAGACAATCCTACACCTAAGACACGAGACAATCCTACACCTGAGACACGAGACAATCCTACACCTGAGGCATGAGACAATCCTACACCTGAGACACGAGACAATCCTACACCTGAGACATGAGACAATCCTTCAACTGAGGCATGATACAATCCTACACCTGAGACAGGAGACAATCCTACACCTGAGACATGACACAATCCTACACCTGAGGCACGACACAATCCTACACCTGAGATATGAGACAGTTGTACACCAGAGACATGAGACAATCCTACACCTGAGACACTATACAATCCTACACCTGAGACATGAGACAATCCTACACCTGAGATATGAGACAATTGTACACCTGAGATATGAGACAATCCTACTCCAGAGTCATGAGACAATCCTACACCTGAGACATGCGACAATCCTACATCTGAGACATGACACAATCCTTCACCTGAGGCATGAGACAATCCTACACCTGAGGCATGATACAATCCTACAACTGAGACATGAGACAATCTCCTACACCTGAGACATGAGACAATCCTACACCTGAGGCACGATACAATCCTACACCTGAGGCACGACACAATCCTACACCTGAGGCATGAGACAATCTCCTACACCTGAGACATGACACAATCCTACACCTGAGGCACGACACAATCCTACACCTGAGGCACGATACAATCCTACAACTGAGGCATGAGACAATCTCCTACACCTGAGACACGAGACAATCCTACACCTGAGGCACAATACAATCCTACACCTGAGGCACCATACAATCCTACACCTGAAGCATGAGACAGTCTTCTACACCTGAGACACAAGACAATCCTACAACTGAGACACGAGACAATCCTACACCTAAGACACGAGACAATCCTACACCTGAGACACGAGACAATCCTACACCTGAGGCATGAGACAATCCTACACCTGAGACACGAGACAATCCTACAACTGAGACACCTCACAATGCTACACCAGCCACGAGACAATCTTACACCAGGCTAAAGAAAATCATAAGCTATACATGTACATATCAAAAAAATAATTTTGTTTCAATGTTTTGCATTGAAAACACACACTAAATTAAGGCTTTGCTTTATATAGTTTTCTTGGTCAGTAATATTTTTTGTGCACCTGTTCATAAACTTGGCAGTGTGTTAAAATCTTTATCCGTCAGGTTTTGTATTTCAACAGTTTAATTACTTAAGCTTAATTGACAAGTCCAATATGGTTCCTAGCAAGTTGTGTATGCCTTGTTTTAAGCAGGATTGGTATTCCTGGGGCCAACATTGGCTGCTTTTATTTAATGGAGTGTTCATTTGCAGCCTGCAGTGAAGATCTGATAACTGTGATCCCTACATTGGAGGTTTGTTTTTCTCATGGACCATCTTGTGCTGTTGTGTCCCTGGACAAGAATAAAGTTACTTAACTTAAAATTACTGTATGTATACATACAGATGTTATTGCTAAAAGTTCAATTTCTTGTCCAGATAACAGGAATAATTTGACACAGCCTAAGTAGGTTTTAAAATATATATGAAACACATTTCTCTGTGGGAACATGTGGTGAAATGAGTCATGCAACAACAGGTGTGAAAATCAGGAATGATGAAAATATGATTGCATCTGCCTGTAATTATTAATGTCATATAGGTATAGATCTCTTATGTGTTTCTGTTGGAGAAAGGTCATCATCCTCTGTTGCCTGTTGAAACATACAACAGGTTTTTGTTTTCATTAACTATATACATCTGTTGATGGACTTTCTTGTTTGTGTGCTACTGTACCTATTATGAAATATTACTGGGTATTTATGGTATGCTGTATCCCCTCAAAATATTCTTGTAGAATGCATCTGTTGATTTGTATTGGTGTGAAAATTGTCGATGATGCATTCTTGTGTTACTGTCACAGCTGTCATCTGGGTATACATGTACATGTATTTCATCAAAGTACTATGGAAGGATATGAAAGTTAGCCTTACATGTCACATTATGTAGTATATAATACAATGGGTCTGTATTAAGGTCTTATACAGCATATCTATGTGTAGGCTTTACAATCATGTTCTTCATATATTTCCACATAGCATAAATGGCTTTAAACAGAGATTCTGTATGTCAGAAGCTAGCATAAAGCCTTAAATATATGTTATCAATGTCAGAAGCTAGCATAAAGCCTTAACTAGAGGTTATCAGTGTCAGAAGCTAGCATAAAGCCTTAACTAGAGGTTATCAGTGTCAGAAGTTAGCATAAAGACTTAACTAGAGGTTATCAGTGTCAGAAGTTAGCATAAAGACTTAACTAGAGGTTATCAGTGTTGGATGCTTGCATAAAGACTTAACTAGAGGTTATCAGTGTCAAAAGTTAGCATAAAGCTTTAACTAGAGGTTATCAGTGTTGGAAGTTAGCATAAAGACTTAACTAGAGGTTATCAGTGTCAGAAGTTAGCATAAAGACTTAACTAGAGGTTATCAGTGTTGGAAGCTAGCATAAAGACTTAACGAGAGGTTATCAGTGTCAGATTTTAGCATAAAGACTTAACTAGAGGTTATCAGTGTCAGATTTTAGCATAAACTCCTTTACCGAGAGGTTCTTTAATTGATGATTACTGTATATGATTCTTATCTTGTTCAGTGTGTTTTTAAAAGGTTTTAATTAATGAACATTAACACATTTTTCAATCACCTGGGCAGAGTGAGGATCAATTGACCTATTGGCATGTTGTTGGGTTTTTTCACAGCTGTCTATCATTTTCCTTGTTAGTTGTTCTGATCAAGAGCATTACATTTTGTACTAATAGATGATTTTTCTTATTTTTTGTTATCTCTGTGAAAATTCAAGAAAATGAGAATAAAGATCTAGCTCTGCCAAAGTGACAGTGTCCTAAGAAGCCAGTACAGATTACCCAAATGTTAGGCTGTAATACCCACAGAACTTTTACTTCTTTCAAGAAGATCAAATTGTATTTCAACAAATTAAAATTTTGTGCCCTTTCTGCAAAGGACAGCTAAAGCATATGTCTCATTATCTTATCTATTAAATTTTCACATTGGTATTGTAAATATGTTCCCTGGGAAAAAAACCATTTATGTGATAAACAGAATGTTCAAAAAATTTAATTCCAGTCTGTCACATCATTGTAAACCCAATGGACTCTGTTCTGTTCATTCAAAGGACAGAGCAAAGTTTTATGGGTTTCTGACGAGGGTGGTTACAATGTAATTGATGATAAATGTTTAAAAAGTGATATGTTGATATTTATTACAGTAAGGTTGACGGCTATGGGTTTGAGCGGGATGGAGACTTTGACCATACATCTTACGATGAGTTTATGTCCAGGTACCTGGCTGTACTTGCCCACAGATCTGCTCAATGGACAGGGGTGATAAACAAGAAATCTAGAGTCTCTAAATCCAGGAAAGGTAACATTACACTTTATCTAGAGCCTTCAAATCCAGAACAGGTAACAGTTACAGTCCCTAGAATCTCTAAATACAGGACAGGTAACAGTTACTGTGTCTAAAGTCTCTAAATACAGAACAGGTAGCAGTTACAGTGTCTAGAATCTCTAAATACAGAACAGGTAGCAGTTACAGTGTCTAAAGTCTCTAAATACAGAACAGGTAGCAGTTACAGTGTCTAGAATCTCTAAATACAGAACAGATAACAATATACAGTGTCTAAAGTCTCTAAATACAGGACAGGTAACAGTTACAGTGTCTAAAGTCTCTAAATACAGAACAGATAACAATATACAGCATCTAAAGTCTCTTAATACAGAACAGGTAACAATATACAGTGCCTAGAGTCTCTAAATACAGGAAAGGTAACAGTTACAGTGTCTTGAGTCTCAAAATACAGGACAGGTAACAGTTACAGTGTCTTGAGTCTCAAAATACAGGACAGGTAACAGTTACAGTGTCTAGAATCTCTAAATACAGGACAGGTAACAGTTACTGTGTCTAAAGTCTCTAAATACAGAACAGGTAGCAGTTACAGTGTCTAGAATCTCTAAATACAGAACAGGTAGCAGTTACAGTGTCTAAAGTCTCTAAATACAGAACAGGTAGCAGTTACAGTGTCTAGAATCTCTAAATACAGAACAGGTAGCAGTTACAGTAGCTAAAGTATCTAAATACAGAACAGGTAGCAGTTACAGTGTCTAGAATCTCTAAATACAGAACAGGTAGCAGTTACAGTGTCTAAAGTCTCTAAATACAGGACAGGTAACAGTTACAGTGTCTAAAGTCTCTAAATACAGAACAGATAACAATATACAGTGTCTAAAGTCTCTAAATACAGAACAGGTAACAATATACAGTGCCTAGAGTCTCTAAATACAGGAAAGGTAACAGTTACATGTCATTTGAGTAACCTCTAAATACAGGACAGGTAACAGTTACAGTGTCTTGAAGTCTCAAAATACAGGACAGGTAACAGTTACAGGACAGGTAACAGTTACAGTGTCTAGAATCTCTAAATACAGAACAGGTAACAGTTACAGTGCCTAGAATCACTAAATACAGGACAGGTAACAGTTACTGTGTCTAAAGTCTCTAAATACAGAACAGGTAGCAGTTACAGTGTCTAAAGTCTCTAAATACAGGACAGGTAACAGTTACAGTGTCTAAAGTCTCTAAATACAGAACAGATAACAATATACAGTGCCTAGAGTCTCTAAATACAGGAAAGGTAACAGTTACAGTGTCTTGAGTCTCAAAATACAGGACAGGTAACAGTTACAGTGTCTAAAGTCTTAAAATCCAGAACAGGTAACAGTTACAGTGTCTAGAATCTCTAAATACAGAACAGGTAACAGTTACAGTGTCTAGAATCTGTAAATACAGGACAGGTAACAGTTACAGTGTCTAAAATCTCTAAATACAGGACAGGTAACAGTTACAGTGTCTAGAATCTCTAAATACAGGACAGGTAACAGTTACAGTGTCTAGAGTCTCTAAATACAGAACAGGTAGCAGTTACAGTGTTTAGAATCTCTAAATACAGGACAGGTAACAGTTACAGTGTCTAAAGTCTCAAAATCCAGAACAGGTAACAGTTACAGTGTCTAGAATCTCTAAATACAGAACAGGTAACAGTTACAGTGTCTAGAATCTCTAAATACAGAAAAGGTAACAGTTACAGTGTCTAGAATCTTTAAATACAGAACAGGTAACAGTTACAGTGTCTAGAATCTTTAAATACAGAACAGGTAACAGTTACAGTGTCTAGAGTCCCTAAGTACAGAAAAGGTAACAATATACAGTGTGTAGAGTCTCTGAATACAGGAAATGTAACATCACACTATAGTTAGAGACTCCAAATCCATATTTTCATTCTTATGTACATTATTATGTACATCCCAGATATACAGGCAGAGATGCTGCATATGACAGTCTTACACTAGGTATCCATGTTAACCTGTTATAGGGATATCACAGGTTCCAGTGTTTGTCGTCTGTTGTCTGTCCGCTTTTTCTATAAAATGCAACAAGTCATTAATGACTTAGGGGATTTTGACCAAATTTGGTCAGAAGCATCCTTAGGGGAAGGGGGAACATTTTTTTTGCTCACCAGGCCCCTTAGGGCATGAGGGACATGAGGGGTGAGGCCCATCAGTTTTGTACAAACAGTGGATCTCGGCTTCCTGGGGCTGGAGGAGCAGGGCCTAATAGGGGAAATTTAATGAACTCTTTTAAATCCTGCTTTACGAATGATTAGATATCCTCCCAAATTTGGTCTGGATTATTCTTGGTGATGGGGACTAAGTTCTGGCCCCCTAGGTGGGGAGGGATCAACCCAATTGCGGAAATGTAAGTTATTAAAAGTCCTTAATTAAATGGCTGAATAGTTAAATCAATCAGATGAGTGATACAGGCCCGTTTAACCTCTTGTCATACATTTGTTTGTGTGGAGAGTTTTATAGATTTTTATGGCCAAATTTCGAATAAAATTCAGTTTAAGTAACTTTACTACTAATTGTTAAATACACTATCGGATATATAGATTTTATAGACCTCAATTCTCTGAAGCATCCTGCTCTCTACTATAAATTTAATTTCACTAGATCATTCAGTGCCGGGTACATTTACTACTTAATGTTAAATACACTCTATCAATTTTATAGACCTAAATTCACTGAAGCATCCTGCTCTCCACTATAAGTTTAATTTCAATAGCTCAATCAGTACCAGGTACATTAACAACTGCCATGATTTTACCATCAAAGTACAAGTACATAACCGGTAATTGACTGTGTTCTAAAGTCACTTCAACACCTTATAGGTACATATCGGGTATAAACCAGTTATAAATAGGGTACTTGGTTCGTTAGGCAGCCATCTATTTTTAATTTTTTCTTTCAGAGTCTTCCTTTTCATGTATACCATTATATTGAACTTGGTTTTTGTTCATGCATATAACATGAGAGCTGTCTTATCAGATGAACTAACCAAACACGTGATTCAGGTGTTAAGATGTATAATTGATCAGTACAAGTTAGTCCACATTTTAAGACATTTACATATAAATGCTTGTTATAAATCTGAATACACATCCCATTTCTGGAGGCATTTCCTTCCAATCTTACTTGTAAATAATCAACTGTTTACCACACAAGCATTGCCATTAAATATCATTACCAACTTTCTTTACAGTAAAACGATACTGCAGGAAGGGGATACCTAGCGAACACCGTCCAATGGTAATTAAACATTTGTTGATTTACTTGACAAGCCTTTCATATAGTTTTCCTGATTTTGTCCTATGAAATGCATTGTAAATATTGCTTTTGTCATCTCCTGTCAAAACATCAGATATATATGTAGATGTCTGGTTACAGTGTCTGGTCATTTTCTGAAAACTTCTATTTGGTAGATAAATAGTTGTTCAATAGAGAGTTTTAACAAGTTGTTCTTCAATTCATTGTTTCTAAGATATGATTTTTTGAATCATTTTATAGATACTATTTACAATGCATCGAATCACAATCAAATCAAATCTGTTTTGTTTTGTTTGTTTTTTTTTTTTTTTTTTGTTTTTTTCTTATTATCATTACCTCAATTATTGTACCAAAATTTGGCATTAATTTTTGTCTTGATGGCTTATATGTGGTGAATCCATGACCCATGGGGTTGAGAATATTTTCATGAAGACAGTACTTATCCATGGAGATGGAAAAACGTGTTCTACATATATGTATCATTGGTATGATGAAGAACAGTATAAGTAAAATATAGATATAGTTATTGATTTACTAGAAGTCATTCAGTTTGAAGCATTACAGGTGCTGATGGTTATTTATGGTGATCCGACTGTTGCATAACTGTTATTGGCATATTGTGTCAATCTTCATTATTTGTAAATTGTCCAGATACAACATATTTTCATTCTTGTGTAAAAATCAGCTCATCCCTTAGAGTTTTATTCAATACAGCTACATTGTTTATCAAATTCCATTGTACAGAAGAAATAAGACATTGTCAACTTAAAGAAAATAAAAATATTATCAACTTCAAGAAAGAAAGATGGCAATTGAAAATTCTTATCAAGTCTACCATGATTGGTGTTGAACCTTGAAATAAAATCAATAAACATTTAACCTGGACAGCATTCATTGTAATGTCACTAGAAAATATGATGATCTCATGTAATCAATGTCTGAAATATCATAATAAATGGACAGGAGACATCAAACCAAAAGTATATAACACATGTTTTTGCCTGTGTTTCCTTTGAAATAATGTTAACATACTGCAGATTTTCAGTGTCATCAGTCAACACAACAATAATTGACTGTTTGTAGGTATGGATGTGTGTCAGCGGCGCCCTAGACAACATGAATTCCAACCCTCGTCTGTACCAGACAATCTTGAAAAGTCAACATGATGATTCTACAGTGGAAGCCATTACAATTGGTCAGTGGTTTATGGATTGTTCCAGAATTAAATGTGTGTGGGGGTCAGGAGGCACTTATCTTTTAACCAGCTCAGGATGGCCTGTAGCCATCATGTTTCATCTGGTGTGGTGCGTTGTCCGCTGTCTGCCGTGTGTAAACTTTCCATTCAAATGATTTCTTCTCAATAAGCAAAAGGCCAAGGGTGCTGATATTGCACTTTATAGCATTATAGGATGAAGGACTACCAAGTTTGATAAAATTAATTGCCTAGACCCACATGCAAGATCACAGGGGTCAAATTAGTTTAAATCTTTAAACAACCTCATCTCAATAACCAAAAGGCCCAGAGTGCTGTTATTTACCCTGTAGCATGATTGGGTGAAGGGCTACCAACTGTGTTAAAATGAATGACCTTGACCCATTTTCAAGGTCATTGGGGGAAAATGTATCCAAATTTTATAAACAACTTCTCAATAATCAAAAGGCCCAGAGTGCTGAAATTGGGTCTCAGGCATGCTTTTTTCAAAGTTTTGTTAGATCAGGCATCACACAAGAATTTCAAAACCAGCACAAGTTATCTCCCTTGAACTTTTGGATCAGGAATATACATGTATTTGGAAACATAGTTTGATGATTTAATTTCAATTTCTGTAAAAATTACAACAATTGAATAGTTTGACCCACAATATCTGATTTTCTGTATCATGTTTACCCCTTCAATTTAATTTTCTGGGGTTATCGTTTAACCAGTCCCCCATATAATTCAGTTTGTAATGGTATCATTCACATATAAAACACGTTTTAGTGTTGTCCCAACCACCCACAAAAAAACCCAATTCATCTGCCACCAGATGCCCTTACACATTTAATTCTGGAATCACCCAAAGATAAAATTCCATTCATACTCATGATAAACTGATTTGGTGTGTGGTATTTTGGGTATATAGCTGCAGGCAGATGCAGAAAAAAAATGACTACATGTAGCTCAACCTGTGTTTGCTGCTGAAATTAGTGTTTGTTGTCTTGGATGTGCTGGAAATGTACAACATTGATTGTAACAAATGATATTTGAGAATGTCAATATTTTGCCTTCTGTTTGTTCTGAAATCTGCAGTCACTTTACTCGGGTTACATGTTTGATGACATGGTCAGTAGAAGGATACAACTCAGGCTTTTGATGTATCGGGCCCTTGACCCTCAATACATCGTTACTGCCCTGTGTGAAAAATACTTTGTCCAGAGCATAACTTTGCTTGCCAGTGAAAACTTGGTTTGTACATTGATCATACAAAGACAACATGCAGTGTACCAGTGTAAGGACCTGCAACCTCTTAATTTTAGATTTATTGACCTTTGTTAAAATTTTGTCTCAGGAGAATTACTTTGCCTGCATTTAAACTGTATTATATACATCTGTCATACAAAAGCAAGGTGTAGTGTAACAAAGTCAGGGCCCTTGACTCCTCAGTACAGAGTTATTGCCCTTTGTTATAATTCCAATAAAGTTTTTTTATTGTCAATGACACTCTTTTCTTCTACATTTGGTGCTGTAGACCACTTCAAGTGAAAATAAGAGGAAGCTGAAAGATTTTGTTGAAGCTTATGGTAGGTAGGAGAAGAACATGTAGAAATGGAAAGTTGTACAGCAGGATTTTATTGTACATAGATATGGTTAGCATCTAGGTTCATGCTGTTTGGAATTTTTCTGAAGCTAACTAGGAGTCATGTGTTGAATCCACTGTGGATTCCACTACTGGCTGTATTGACCATAAGGAACATTTACACATGGTGTATACAGAAAAACCTTGGAACTGGGAACAAAAGTTAATCCTAATATACAAATCCAGTAGTTTTACAACTTTTCAGACCTCCACCGCACATTTCCTGACAATATCTACTTCAGTGCCAACGGCAATCTGAGGGGACCTCTGTTTAATGTCCTGATAGCTCTATCTCATAAGAACAGTGATCAGGGCTACTGCCAGGTGAGTCAGTTTTTAATGTTGATTTTACCAGGGAGTCATATCGTGATTAAATTTTGTTGTTGTTTTTTATACCAATATTTGTCACATTAAATGATAACTTTGTACAGATCATGGGCAGAATATGGGGGTTACTTGTTGTCACAACATTCTATCAGTTAAGTTTTTGAACTCACCCACCTTTACTTATGAAAGTTCATTTTTCTTTGCTCCATCACTTTTTACATAAAGCAGTTTATCTTTGCCCTTTGAAATTTGTAATTCCAGTATACACTGGAAGTGGCAATTTGGGGATAAAGTCTAGTGATGAAAATAGAAATTCTGAATTATTGATACAGTTTCTTTAATTGTGTTTGTCCTCTTCCCATGATTTTTTCCAGGAGGGCACTTGTTATGATCTTAGTGTTAACAGTAGTAATTGAGGTTTGATATTTTAAGTATTTCACTCCAGAAATTATCATTTTGTAGGGTATTAACTTTGTTGCTGGTTTACTCCTTTTGATCGTTAAAAATGAGGAGAAAGTGTTTTGGTTACTGGACACTCTAATGAATGACATCCTTCCAGGTATGTTACAGATAAGTTCTATTTCACATAACTATATCAGGTCACCTGAGACAGATTTTCATGGTTACCTATTGCAATCGCTTGTTGTCAAGCATCGTACATTGTAAACTTTAAATTTTAACTTCTACTCAAAAAGTCCTGAACTGATTTCAGTGAAATTTTTTACAGAAATATTCCCTGACTAAAACGAACTAAAATAGTGAATTATATGGTCTTTCCCCCACTCCCCACCCTCCTCCCCCTCAGTTTGCACATTTAAAATTCTTCCTGAGAGAACTTGTGTTAATTTGGCCTTAAAATGCATCAACATTAAACTTAAGTTCATCTTAGTTACAAACAAATTTTAATTATTTCTCTTCATTTTTCTTCATTTTCAGATTTTTATGCTCCAGACATGAAAGCCACTCAGGCAGAACAAGAACTTTTAGGAGAGATAATTAAGTATGTATCTTTCCTCTCTGATGACTTAGCCTGGTGTTTTAGGAGAGATAATTAAGTATGTATCTTTCCTCTCTGATGACTTACCCTGGTGTTTTAGAAGAGATAATTAAGTATGTATCTTTCCTCTCTGATGACTTAGCCTGGTGTTTTAGGAGAGATAATTAAGTATGTATCTTTCCTCTCTGATGACTTAGCCTGGTGTTTTAGGAGAGATTAATTAAGTATGTATCTTTCCTCTCTGATGACTTACCTTGGTGTTTTAGGAGAGATAATTAAGTATGTATCTTTCCTCTCTGATGACTTAGCCTGGTGTTTTAGGAGAGATAATTAAGTATGTATCTTCCTCTCTCTCTGATGACTTCCTCTCTGGTGTTTTAGGAGAGATAATTAAGTATGTATCTTTCCTCTCTGATGACTTAGCCTTTAGGAGAGATAATTAAGTATGTATCTTTCCTCTCTGATGACTTAGCCTGGTGTTTTAGGAGAGATAATTAAGTATGTATCTTTCCTGTCTGATGACTTACCCTGGTGTTTTAGGAGAGATAATTAAGTATGTATCTTTCCTCTCTGATGACTTACTTTAGGAGAGATAATTAAGTATGTATCTTTCCTCTCTGATGACTTACCTTGGTGTTTTAGGAGAGATAATTAAGTATGTATCTTTCCTCTCTGATGACTTAGCCTGGTGTTTTAGGAGAGATAATTAAGTATGTATCTTTCCTCTCTGATGACTTAATTTAGGAGAGATAATTAAGTATGTATCTTTCCTCTCTGATGACTTAGCCTGGTGTTTTAGGAGAGATAATTAAGTATGTATCTTTCCTCTCTGATGACTTACTTTAGGAGAGATAATTAAGTATGTATCTTTCCTCTCTGATGACTTACTCTGGTGTTTTAGGAGAGATAATTAAGTATGTGTCTTTCCTCTCTGATGACTTAGCCTGGTGTTTTAGGAGAGATAATTAAGTATGTATCTTTCCTCTCTGATGACTTAGCCTGGTGTTTTAGGAGAGATAATTAAGTATGTATCTTTCCTCTCTGATGACTTGGTGTTTTAGGAGAGATAATTAAGTATGTATCTTTCCTCTCTGATGACTTAGCCTGGTGTTTTAGGAGAGATAATTAAGTATGTATCTTTCCTCTCTGATGACTTAGCCTGGTGTTTTAGGAGAGATAATTAAGTATGTATCTTTCCTCTCTGATGACTTAGCCTGGTGTTTTAGGAGAGATAATTAAGTATGTATCTTTCCTCTCTGATGACTTACTTTAGGAGAGATAATTAAGTATGTATCTTTCCTCTCTGATGACTTAGCCTGGTGTTTTAGGAGAGATAATTAAGTATGTATCTTTCCTCTCTGATGACTTCTGGTGTTTTAGGAGAGATAATTAAGTATGTATCTTTCCTCTCTGATGACTTAGCCTGGTGTTTTAGGAGAGATAATTAAGTATGTATCTTTCCTCTCTGATGAGTGGTGTTTTAGGAGAGATAATTAAGTATGTATCTTTCCTCTCTGATGACTTACTTTAGGAGAGATAATTAAGTATGTATCTTTCCTCTCTGATGACTTAGCCTGGTGTTTTAGGAGAGATAATTAAGTATGTATCTTTCCTCTCTGATGACTTACCCTGGTGTTTTAGGAGAGATAATTAAGTATGTATCTTTCCTCTCTGATGACTTAGCCTGGTGTTTTAGGAGAGATAATTAAGTATGTATCTTTCCTCTCTGATGACTTAGCCTGGTGTTTTAGGAGAGATAATTAAGTATGTATCTTTCCTCTCTGATGACTTAGCCTGGTGTTTTAGGAGAGATAATTAAGTATGTATCTTTCCTCTCTGATGACTTAGCCTGGTGTTTTAGGAGAGATAATTAAGTATGTATCTTTCCTGTCTGATGACTTACCCTGGTGTTTTAGGAGAGATAATTAAGTATGTATCTTTCCTCTCTGATGACTTACTCTGGTGTTTTAGGAGAGATAATTAAGTATGTATCTTTCCTCTCTGATGACTTAGCCTGGTGTTTAAGGAGAGATAATTAAGTATGTATCTTTCCTCTCTGATGACTTACTCTGGTGTTTTAGGAGAGATAATTAAGTATGTATCATTCCTCTCTGATGACTGGTGTTTTAGGAGAGATAATTAAGTATGTATCTTTCCTCTCTGATGACTTACTTTAGGAGAGATAATTAAGTATGTATCTTTCCTCTCTGATGACTTACTTTAGGAGAGATAATTAAGTATGTATCTTTCCTCTCTGATGACTTAGCCTGGTGTTTTAGGAGAGATAATTAAGTATGTATCTTTCCTCTCTGATGACTTATTTTAGGAGAGATAATGAAGTATGTATCTTTCTCTCTCTGATGACTTTCCCTCTGATGACTTACCCTGGTGTTTTAGGAGAGATAATTAAGTATGTATCTTTCCTCTCTGATGACTTACTTTAGGAGAGATAATTAAGTATGTATCTTTCCTCTCTGATGACTTACCCTGGTGTTTTAGGAGAGATAATTAAGTATGTATCTTTCCTCTCTGATGACTTACTTTAGGAGAGATAATTAAGTATGTATCTTTCCTCTCTGATGACTTAGCCTGGTGTTTTAGGAGAGATAATTAAGTATGTATCTTTCCTCTCTGATGACTTAGCCTGGTGTTTTAGGAGAGATAATTAAGTATGTATCTTTCCTCTCTGATGACTTAGCCTGGTGTTTTAGGAGAGATAATTAAGTATGTATCTTTCCTGTCTGATGACTTACCCTGGTGTTTTAGGAGAGATAATTAAGTATGTATCTTTCCTCTCTGATGACTTAGCCTGGTGTTTTAGGAGAGATAATTAAGTATGTATCTTTCCTCTCTGATGACTTAGCCTGGTGTTTTAGGAGAGATAATTAAGTATGTATCTTTCCTCTCTGATGACTTAGCCTGGTGTTTTAGGAGAGATAATTAAGTATGTATCTTTCCTCTCTGATGACTTAGCCTGGTGTTTTAGGAGAGATAATTAAGTATGTATCTTTCCTCTCTGATGACTTAGCCTGGTGTTTTAGGAGAGATAATTAAGTATGTATCTTTCCTCTCTGATGACTTAGCCTGGTGTTTTAGGAGAGATAATTAAGTATGTATCTTTCCTCTCAGATGACTTACTTTAGGAGAGAAAATTAAGTATGTATCTTTCCTCTCTGATGTTTTAGGAGAGATAATTAAGTATGTATCTTTCCTCTCTGATGACTTACTTTAGGAGAGATAATTAAGTATGTATCTTTCCTCTCTGATGACTTAGCCTGGTGTTTTAGGAGAGATAATTAAGTATGTATCTTTCCTCTCTGATGACTTAGCCTGGTGTTTTAGGAGAGATAATTAAGTATGTATCTTTCCTCTCTGATGACTTAGCCTGGTGTTTTAGGAGAGATAATTAAGTATGTATCTTTCCTGTCTGATGACTTACCCTGGTGTTTTAGGAGAGATAATTAAGTATGTATCTTTCCTCTCTGATGACTGGTGTTTTAGGAGAGATAATTAAGTATGTATCTTTCCTGTCTGATGACTTACCCTGGAGTTTTAGGAGAGATAATTAAGTATGTATCTTTCCTCTCTGATGACTTACTTTAGGAGAGATAATTAAGTAATTCTTTCCTCTCTATGTATCTTTCCTCTCTGATGACTTACTGGTGTTTTAGGAGAGATAATTAAGTATGTATCTTTCCTCTCTGATGACTTACTTTAGGAGAGATAATTAAGTATGTATCTTTCCTCTCTGATGACTTACTTTAGGAGAGATAATTAAGTATGTATCTTCCTCTCTGACTTCTGATGACTTCCTCTCTGATGACTTTTTAGGAGAGATAATTAAGTATGTATCTTTCCTCTCTGATGACTTACTTTAGGAGAGATAATTAAGTATGTATCTTTCCTCTCTGATGACTTACTTTAGGAGAGATAATTAAGTATGTATCTTTCCTCTCTGATGACTTACTGGTGTTTTAGGAGAGATAATTAAGTATCTTTCCTCTCTATGACTTATTTTATCTTATCTTTCCTGTCTGATGACTTACTTTAGGAGAGATAATTAAGTATGTATCTTTCCTGTCTGATGACTTACTTTAGGAGAGATAATTAAGTATGTATCTTTCCTCTCTGATGACTTACTTTAGGAGAGATAATTAAGTATGTATCTTTCCTCTCTGATGACTTACTTTAGGAGAGATAATTAAGTATGTATCTTTCCTCTCTGATGAGTATGTATCTTTCCTGGTGACTTTTTAGGAGAGATAATTAAGTATGTATCTTTCCTCTCTGATGACTTGGTGTTTTAGGAGAGATAATTAAGTATGTATCTTTAGGAGAGATAATTAGTATGTATCTTTCCTCTCTGATGACTTACTTTAGGAGAGATAATTAAGTATGTATCTTTCCTGTCTGATGACTTACTTTAGGAGAGATAATTAAGTATGTATCTTTCCTGTCTGATGACTTACCCTGGTGTTTTAGGAGAGATAATTAAGTATCTTTCCTCTCTGATATCTTTAGGAGAGATAATTTTCCTGTCTGATGACTTACTTTGACTTACTTTAGGAGAGATAATTAAGTATGTATCTTTCCTCTCTGATGACTTACTTTAGGAGAGATAATTAAGTATGTATCTTTCCTGTCTGATGACTTACCCTGGTGTTTTAGGAGAGATAATTAAGTATGTATCTTTCCTCTCTGATGACTTACTTTAGGAGAGATAATTAAGTATGTATCTTTCCTCTCTGATGACTTACCTTGGTGTTTTAGGAGAGATAATTAAGTATGTATCTTTCCTCTCTGATGACTTACTTTAGGAGAGATAATTAAGTATGTATCTTTCCTGTCTGATGACTTACTTTAGGAGAGATAATTAAGTATGTATCTTTCCTGTCTGATGACTTACTTTAGGAGAATCCAATTCAGATTGAATTGTTCTGATTTTGTTGTGATGTATAAATCAATGAATGAAATAAAGTTTATATTAAACACACTGTAGTATCCTCTGTGTATCAAGGGCAAGAGTGGTACAATGTGATATAGGTCAGTCTGTTTACAATCATCCGTTAAATTATTACATAAACAACAAATTCATGAACTTTTTGTCAAATTGAAGGAACATCTTGACTACTGCAGATCAGGCAATATTCAGAAAAAATAAACTGGTCCTTGTGGGATCTGATTACTTAAAAGCCACTCTCAAACTGGTTGACTCAGTTGGGTAAAGGTCTTCACTGGAATTGTCAGACTAGTTTCAGCCACAATTAATTTGTTTGAAACTTCAATTCTATGTCTTATCTGAAGTGGTATTTATCTATATGAAGAAGTAGAGAAAATGTTACAGAAAATTACTGAAGTGTAAAGAGAAGAGGGGGGGGGGGGGGGGGGGGGGGGGGGGGGGGGGGGGGAAAAAATGTCGGGTTATAGTTTTCAGGATGAAGACTTTTGGGGATAGCTGAGGTAGTGTATAAATATGAACAATCAGTGGGGTTGTGATCAAACACAATAGTTAATGTGGCCCTGCTTGCAACTAAATCATCTGGATAAAGTGATAAGTAATTTGTTTGTTGTTACAGATGGAAGGCCCCGGAGATCCATGCTCACCTCAAAAGTATGGACATACAGTGGTGCCTGGTTGCCACTAAATGGTTTCTATGCCTCTTTGCCGATGTCATGCCAGTTGAGGTTAGGACGATTTATTTCTAAATGAATAATTCTGTTAAATTTTTATGCGTATATTATTCTGGTGAATTCATACAGATGTATTTTGGGTTTTGGTAATGTATGTGCAAGTTAGTAATTTCCACAGTATTAGAACTCTATTCCCAAGTTTAAAGTTCTGTAATGTTCAGTTTAATTCTCATTTAAAGTATTGATTTTTCTGCTAATTTCATAGATAAAATCTAAAACAAATGTTTAAAGAAACAAAACCAAAAAATAATGTTTTAAAAATTTATTCAGTTTAAATACCCTTACCTCTAATGGTGATCATAAAACAGTTTTGTTTTGTTTTGTTCAAATTTTTGTGATTTTATGAATAACTTGTGTGATAAAATATCAATTTTTTTTTCTAATAATATTTCTTTCAAGGTATCTCCATCTCATAATTGCATTCAGTCCTCAGAAACAATAGGAAAAAATAACTTTAGTTTACAGTTCAGTATTGACTGAAATACTTTGTATAATAACCGCTGCAACATTTTCTCTTCTGAAACATATAGTTCATCTTTTGTCTGATAATTATAAGCATCTAGTTGACTTCATGGACTATCGTAATTGTTCTGTAGAGAGTTTGGTCTGTGTTTATTAACTTGCCATACAAAAGCCTCCTCACTTCCCTGACGACTGTCTTGTCTGTTGCTAAAGGGTTGACATACTGGCTAATGATGAAAATATTTATTTCATTTTAATCTGAAAATGTCATTTCTACTTTGAAAAACAATCAGCAGTATCTATAGCAGAGGCCAGAACTTCAGAAAAGTACTGGTATTTTTATGTATGGTTTGTACAAGGTACATATTCCGGTGTAAACTTTATCATTATAAGTTGAAACTACCGTTAGATAATTTTATGTAAAGTGTAAGAAAAGTGTTGTTTCTGTTGTAGACCACTCTTAGGATCTGGGACTGTTTGTTCTATGAAGGAGACAAGATTCTTTTAAGAGTGGCCACAATGTTGATCATACAGAACAAGGACCAGTTTCTTGCCTGTAAAACATTCACAGAGACAATGGACTTCTTCAAAGAAATAGTTAATAACCCAAAGATTGTTGATTGCCATGTATTTTTACAGGTAAAACACATGTGATGGATACTGGGGAGCTCCCCCAACTTATTCTCAAACATTTAGCCTTAACTCACCCCCAAGGTTTGTTTTATCAAACCTGCAATCTCCCTTTAAAATTCAATTGCATTACAAAAAAATCAACACAAGTTTTACGGTAAACCAACGTATTTTGTCACAATAAAAATTTAGCACAATATCAATATTGCACAAAGAAGTGTCCTCATGAATAAGCATATTTGCAATTATTGTACGGTATATCAATGACATACAGAAAGTGCAATAAGCGTATTCATGTTTATATGTATTATTTTTCCTAAGGAAACCAAAATAAGATTATTGCCAAAACATGTACTATGTGTGTTTACTTTATATTTCATTGTTGATTGTGTTACCGTGTCAATTGCCTTGGTAAATAGACCTGGTTATCGTAAACTGGAAACTTTCTTTATCTCTCAATATGTCACTTCAACTGCATAATAATTTATCTATCTGCAAAAAATGCACAAGAAATGGAAGTTCAGTGATTGATAAGTATGTAAAGAGAGGTTAGCATGCCATTAATGGTATGGTATTGATAAAATTTGAATTTTGATTATAAAAGTTCTCTCATTTGTTTTCTTGATATTAATGAGTGTTTCTCTCCCCTTTGCAGAAATGTTTTACAGAAATTGGACCATTTCCAAGAGCAAAAATAAAAGCCTTACGACAGGAGTGCATGCAGAGAGTGAAGTGATGAAGCAAACATAACCTCAAAATCTTACAAGTCTCAACAGAACAAAGAAAAATGCTTAATAATTATCTGTGGATGTGATACAATAATTATCTGTTGATGTGATACCACATCCAAGATCTCACCCCCTGGTTTATAGGACATGAAGTCAGGGATCAATATTTAAAATGTCTACCCAATACCTTTCATTATTTTTTTGTTTGTTTTCATTATGATGTGGGCTGCTACACATTGCCAGTATAAGCATGATTTCTTATTCAGGTTTTGAAAGATTTTTTTTTTGTGTGTGTGGTTTTTTTTCATAATTTTGCCATAGCTTATAATTCTGACACAAATTGTGTTTTATTTTTTAAACATATTAGAGTGCTATTTGTCTGAACATGTTAGTGTCAGGTATTTGTCTGAACATGTTAGTTTCAGGTATTGGTCTGAATATGTTAATGTCAGGTATTTGTCTGAACATGTTAGTGTCAGGTATTTGTGTGAACATGTTAGTGTCAGGTATTTGTCTGAACATGTTAATGTCAGGTATTGGTCTGAACATGTTAATGTCAGGTATTGGTCTGGAGATGTTAGTGTCAGGTATTTGTCTGGAGATGTTAGTGTCAGGTATTTGTCTGAACATGTTAATGTCAGGTATTTGTCTGGAGATGTTAATGTCAGGTATTCGTCTGGAGATGTTAGTGTCAGGTATTTGTCTGAACATGTTAATGTCAGGTATTGGTCTGAACATGTTAATGTCAGGTATTGGTCTGAACATGTTAATGTCAGGTATTTGTCTGAACATGTTAGTGTCAGGTATTTGTCTGGAGATGTTAGTGTCAGGTATTTGTCTGAACATGTTAATGTCAGGTATTTGTCTGAACATGTTAATGTCAGGTATTTGTCTGGAGATGTTAGTGTCAGGTATTTGTCTGAACATGTTAATGTCAGGTATTTGTCTGAACATGTTAGTGTCAGGTATTGGTCTGAACATGTTAGTGTCAGGTATTTGTCTGGAGATGTTAATGTCAGGTATTAGTCTGAACATGTTAGTGTCAGGTAATGTTAATGTCAGGTATTTGTGTGAACATGTTAGTGTCAGGTATTGGTCTGAACATGTTAGTGTCAGGTAATGTTAATGTCAGGTATTTGTGTGAACATATTAGTGTCAGGTATTTGTCTGGAGATGTTAGTGTCAGGTATTTGTCTGAACATGTTAATGTCAGGTATTTGTCTGGAGATGTTAGTGTCAGGTATTTGTCTGAACATGTTAATGTCAGGTATTTGTCTGAACATGTTAGTGTCAGGTATTTGTCTGGAGATGTTAATGTCAGGTATTTGTCTGAACATGTTAATGTCAGGTATTTGTCTGGAGATGTTAGTGTCAGGTATTTGTCTGGAGATGTTAATGTCAGGTATTGGTCTGAACATGTTAATGTCAGGTATTTGTCTGGAGATGTTAGGTATTTGTCAGGTATTTGTGTGAACATGTTAGTGTCAGGTATTTGTCTGAACATGTTAATGTCAGGTATTGGTCTGAACATGTTAGTGTCAGGTATTTGTCTGAACATGTTAGTGTCAGGTATTTGTCTGGAGATGTTAATGTCAGGTATTTGTCTGTGTGGAGATGTTAGTGTCAGGTATTTGTCTGAACATGTTAATGTCAGGTATTTGTCTGAACATGTTAGTGTCAGGTATTGGTCTGAACATGTTAGTGTCAGGTATTTGTCTGGAGATGTTAGTGTCAGGTATTTGTCTGGAGATGTTAGTGTCAGGTATTTGTCTGAACATGTTAGTGTCAGGTATTGGTCTGAACATGTTAGTGTCAGGTATTTGTCTGGACATGTTAGTGTCAGGTATTTGTCTGGAGATGTTAGTGTCAGGTATTTGTCTGAACATGTTAGTGTCAGGTATTTGTCTGGAGATGTTAGTGTCAGGTATTTGTCTGGAGATGTTAGTGTCAGGTATTTGTCTGGAGATGTTAGTGTCAGGTATTTGTCTGAACATGTTAATGTCAGGTATTTGTCTGGAGATGTTAGTGTCAGGTATTTGTCTGAACATGTTAATGTCAGGTATTTGTCTGAACATGTTAGTGTCAGGTATTTGTCTGGAGATGTTAATGTCAGGTATTTGTCTGGAGATGTTAGTGTCAGGTATTTGTCTGAACATGTTAGTGTCAGGTATTTGTCTGAACATGTTAATGTCAGGTATTCGTCTGGAGATGTTAGTGTCAGGTATTTGTCTGAACATGTTAATGTCAGGTATTCGTCTGGAGATGTTAGTGTCAGGTATTTGTCTGAACATGTTAATGTCAGGTATTCGTCTGGAGATGTTAGTGTCAGGTATTTGTCTGAACAGGTTAATGTCAGGTATTCGTCTGGAGATGTTAGTGTCAGGTATTTGTCTGAACATATTAGTGTCAGGTATTGGTCTGGAGATGTTAGTGTCAGGTATTTGTGTGAACATGTTAGTGTCAGGTATTGGTCTGAACATGTTAGTGTCAGGTATTTGTCTGAACATGTTAATGTCAGGTATTTGTCTGGAGATGTTAATGTCAGGTATTTGTCTGAACATGTTAATGTCAGGTATTTGTCTGGAGATGTTAGTGTCAGGTATTTGTCTGAACATGTTAATGTCAGGTATTTGTCTGGACATGTTAGTGTCAGGTATTTGTCTGAACATGTTAATGTCAGGTATTTGTCTGAACATGTTAATGTCAGGTATTGGTCTGGAGATGTTAGTGTCAGGTATTTGTCTGAACATGTTAATGTCAGGTATTTGTCTGAACATGTTAATGTCAGGTATTCGTCTGGAGATGTTAGTGTCAGGTATTTGTCTGAACATGTTTAGTGTCAGGTATTTGTCTGGAGATGTTAGTGTCAGGTATTTGTCTGAACATGTTAGTGTCAGGTATTTGTCTGAACATGTTAATGTCAGGTATTTGTCTGAACATGTTAGTGTCAGGTATTTGTCTGGAGATGTTAGTGTCAGGTATTTGTCTGGAGATGTTAGTGTCAGGTATTTGTCTGGAGATGTTAGTGTCAGGTATTTGTCTGGAGATGTTAATGTCAGGTATTTGTCTGAACATGTTAATGTCAGGTATTTGTCTGGAGATGTTAGTGTCAGGTATTTATCTGAACATGTTAATGTCAGGTATTCGTCTGGAGATGTTAGTGTCAGGTATTTGTCTGGAGATGTTAGTGTCAGGTATTTATCTGAACATGTTAGTGTCAGGTATTTGTCTGAACATGTTAGTGTCAGGTATTTGTCTGAACATGTTAATGTCAGGTATTCGTCTGGAGATGTTAGTGTCAGGTATTCGTCTGGAGATGTTAGTGTCAGGTATTTGTCTGGAGATGTTAGTGTCAGGTATTTGTCTGGAGATGTTAATGTCAGGTATTTGTCTGGACATGTTAATGTCAGGTATTGGTCTGGAGATGTTAGTGTCAGGTATTTGTCTGGAGATGTTAGTGTCAGGTATTTGTCTGGAGATGTTAGTGTCAGGTATTTGTCTGGAGATGTTAGTGTCAGGTATTTGTCTGAACATGTTAGTGTCAGGTATTTGTCTGGAGATGTTAGTGTCAGGTATTTGTCTGAACATGTTAATGTCAGGTATTGGTCTGGAGATGTTAATGTCAGGTATTTGTCTGGAGATGTTAGTGTCAGGTATTTGTCTGAACATGTTAATGTCAGGTATTTGTCTGGAGATGTTAGTGTCAGGTATTGGTCTGGAGATGTTAGTGTCAGGTATTTGTCTGGAGATGTTAGTGTCAGGTATTGGTCTGGAGATGTTAGTGTCAGGTATTTGTCTGGAGATGTTAGTGTCAGGTATTGGTCTGGAGATGTTAGTGTCAGGTATTTGTCTGGAGATGTTAGTGTCAGGTATTTGTCTGAATATGTTAATGTCAGGTATTTGTCTGGACATCTTAGTGCAAGGTATTTGTCTGGAGATATTGATGTCTGGTAATAAAGTTGTTTGGTCCAGTGTGTGTTATCAATATGATCAGATGTTTTTATAGATATTGAGTAGAAATGATTTTTTGCTGACAATGATGGCCGCTAATGTGAATGGGTCATCTTTAGATTCTTTTTTATTATGTCTAATCTCTAACCTAAACATTTTTAATTACTTGTATTAAGCATTATATGTTCTCAGTTCTTGCTTTTCAGTAGCAAAGAATATCATAAATGTATGACCAAAATAAGAAAGTGATTAATTTGTTACCAAATCATGAAATATGTGTTGGGTGAAGTGAACTTGCTATGTCCGGGGGAAGAAAAGTAGATTTTAACAGATTGATTATTGTGTGGATAAATCTATTCAGCGAAGTAAATTATTTAGTGTAGGTTTCAATTAAATGCACTCTTTCCTAGAAAATAAGGTGTGTTCATAATGTCATAAGCACTTATTAGAGTAATTATAGGAAGACATTCAAATAAAAATTGCACATAGGAATAGTTATTGTACAATGAAACAGTTAATGTCATTCCACATTGAAAACAGAATAATGATGTCCCAAATCAACAGTAACCTTTAATTTATAAACAAATCAGATCTTGTTGCCATATCTTTTGTTATGAAATACTCGGTGAGAATAGTATCAACTTTACCCATGTCTCTTTACAAAAAGTACTAATGGACAGTAAAGGTAATGTCTGCAGATTTTTTTTTTTATTGTGTTTTATTTTTATTGTATTGCTTCATTCCGTCTAGTCATTCCATCTGTATGTTTACATTACATTGTAAATTTTCTTTATCTTGATTTAGAAGAAGCTGTTTTGATATGCATTGTGATAGTGGTTACTTAATGAGACCAATTATATCCTACCAGGCACATGTACATATGTCCTTGTATCATTTAGTAAGAGCTATTCCAGTAAAACATGTATCCCACCCATTTCCTCCAACACTGCTTTTGTTTTAGGGGTATTGCCCGTTAAATTAGAAAACTTACGAATGACAGGCAAGAAACTGAACCATAAATAAAAGGGATTTATTTTTGAGACTTGGGACCAATAAA